ATAGATATGATTTAAATGATTTTAAATATCTACAATTTCTATTAAACACTACGTCGCTACTTCGTATGGGTAAACCTCAATAACATAAACCACTTCTAGATGGCATATCAAGAATATATACCAGTTTTTAAGTCTTTTTTTTTCAGGCCCACCTGATGGAAAGTAGTAACCGTCGCCTATAGACATGAGCAGTACCATGGACATAACAGAATATATTGTTTCGCCCATGATACCCCCCATGCGCTGCCATTCCTGAGGACTCAGGTGTTATTCCTCTGTACCCAGTAAATTCACGCCATATCCCACCTTTCAAACCGAAACACAGCCATGCAAACACAACTGCTTCACGTTTGAAACACGAATGGGACAGAGGTACCCAAGCAATCGACTTTTGTACAAAGTCTCCCTCTGGTGAGGAGTCTTTTCTTAAATTAATCTCTCATTTACAGCCATCGTCTAGTGACAATTTTGTTACAATCGTGGACTAATAGTGGTATTTAGTATGTTATAAAATAATAAAGGTTACAATAAAGTTTAAGCCCAATTACGTTACTGTTGACTTGTGTAGTTATACGTAATTGTAACTGTAACAATTAACTGACGCACGCACAGTTAGTTTTCCACCCTTAATAAAATATAGGTCAAGTTTACTTTCAGGAAATCACTATTAACAATAACGGTCTCGAAATAGAATGGTTGACATATTTATCGGACGTAATTATCTTTACTTTAATATGTCCACTGCTTATTTTTATGTATAATTTTCTATTAATAAACGTGAGTAGCTTTTTTTTTATAGTTTTTCCAATAATTTTATTTTGTTGAATGTAAATAGACGTGTACAATAATTGGTAGGTAACAATATTTCTGTTCTCACATTCACCAAATTATAAAGTAATAACATATAATTGGTATAATCATTTTATAATATCAAATTTATAATTTGAAAAATAACAATTTTTTTCTAGTTCTTTTTTTTTTTTTGTTTATTTTTATATTTTTTTATAAATAGGTAAAGTTTATATATATATTTTTTTTATGCAACTTAGAATGTGGCAAACAAGCTGACGGCCCACCTGATATTAAGAGATAGCCGTCGCCTATAAACATGAGCAGTGCGAGGACATGACAGACTATACTGTTTCGCCCATGACACCCAAACGCATGGAGCGTTGCCATTCCTGAGGACTTAGGTTTTATTCCTCTGTACCCTGTACATTCGCTGCTATATCCTACCCTTCAAACCGAAACACAGCCATGCAAACACAACTGCTTCACGGTAAAAAAAAACACGAATGAGACAGAGGTGCCTAAGCAAATGACTTTTGTACAAAGTCTCCTTCTAGTAGAAATGTACTTGTTACCAGAGGGAGACTGTACAAAAGTCGATTGCTTGGGTACCTCTGTCCCATTTGTGTTTCTACCGTGAAGCAGTTGTGTTTGCATGGCTGTGTTTCGGTTTGAAGGGTGGGATATGGCAGTGAATGTACAGGGTACAGAGGAATAACACCTGAGTCATCAGGAATGGCAACGCATGAGGGGTATCATGGGCGAAACAGTATCCTCTGTTATATCCATAGTACTGCTCATGTCTATAGGCGACGGTTACCACTTTCAATCAGGTGGTCCGTCAGCTTGTTTGCCATTTTAAGTTGTATAAAAAAAAAACTTGTAACTTGATATTATTACATCTAAGAATAATTATCACAATATAAAAAAAAATTAAAATAAATAAATAAATAAAAAACTAATATTATTGGCAGTTTAATAAACATTCGTTGGTAATACACTCTATTTATACGCTGTGATTATTATCGTGAAATAAAATTAACTGTTGATTATTAATTAATAATTTATATATAGCTAGTTGTTTCCCATGTCTTTGTCCACACATATCAGTATATAAAGTATCTTATTCGTGTTAAATTGCTAAAATATTAAGATATAACTCATCTTCATTTCAGCCATTATCCGTCCACTGCTGAACATAGTCCTCCCTCATAGACTGCCATAAGGAACAATTCTGAGCCACCTGCATTCACTGACTCCCTGCAATGCATTTACAGTCGTTACTCTCTCTAATGGGGGCTCGTTTTACACTGCGTTTTCCCGTACGGTGTCGCCACTCAAGAACCTTTCTTCCTCTTGCGATATTAAAACGTGATTGAATAACAAAGATACGAACTCCTCAGTGGCGTAACAATAGGGTGCCAGAGCTGGCAAAATACCACGGGCCCCCGACCCTAAACGGCCCCGGCTCAAGAGGCCGCGAGCTCAGATTTTTTTACCTTGAATCTGAGTATTTTATTTTACTTGAAAATAAATTATAGGGCCCCATCAAAAGAATTTGCCACAGGCCCCAAATGGTATAGTTACGCCACTGGAACTCCGTTATGAACATTCATATTTCTAAATAATAGTAGGATATGTACGTTACTTATTCATATTCGTAGTCACATTTTTTTCCCCTATTTGAGAGCTCCGCTCTTCTGAGTAGAGCTCTTGCCACTCACTACGATATTCAACGAGTCTCTTCACCTCTTGATACGACACGACACCAACTTTTTCCTCGATCTACCTGATGTAACTATGCCTTGGTCTTCCCTTCCCCTCCTTCCCTCTATTTTAATGTTCATAAGTAGGGGAGAAAGGGATTGTTAGTAATGGACACTGAGAATCCCATTGCTAGCAATATACCCAACCAGGTCGACCTCCTCGCGGTTCCCCCTGGAAACTATCATGGTTAATTCCTGATGAATTCATAATGATGGGCTAACTGACCTGTTTTCATTCTCATCTATCACCCTTCACTGGTGCTCCGCTAGCGTATCCCATTAACGCACGCGGAGTTACCATACCATTTTCACCCATCAAAAAAAATGTTCATAAGTTCGTCGCATCGTATTATGTGCCCCAACATTTTTCCCCTTCTGAGCTCAATAGTTTTTATAATTTGACTCTTTTCCTTAACCCCATGTAGAACCTACTCATTATAAGTCATAATAAAAAAAAAATATTAAAAAGTATAATTCATAGTCATTATGTAGTACAAACAATATGCCCGTTGACAATGATCGCGTGTCATCTATGTTATTACAGGCACTCGTCCCAACATTAATATTTATTGTCGGCATTACAGTGTGTAGCGCCAGTGAAAAAAGTATGGCTGGAAATAAAAATACCATTTTTATAAACTTTGAAAAAAAAAATATTTTGTCAACTAGGCGAGTTTTACAGTCTCTCAATACGCTTGCCCAGAAAAACATCAACACAATAACACATGTATAATTAGAAGGAATAATATTGAAAAGATTAGTAATCATAATAATAGAATAAATCAAACATACCTACTACAAAAGGCCACTATCTTAAATACCTGCCATATTACCAGAAAATTCCTCACCTCGTCTACTATTACATCTTCCTATTCTGAAACCTGTCCTACACTTGGCTAAGGCCCGTGTCGGTGAGTAAACCTTCGTCCATGTGAAGAAGAGACAGAAAAACAAAATCAAAATAATAATAGTAATAACATTTATATATATTTGTGTTCAGAGATTTAAATCTCTCTCTCTGGTCATCACTCTGTGGTCATCCGAAACTCCAACAAATTGGAGGCAAACACGACGTCTAATTGCTGATAGTAATTCATATTAATATCTCTCCTCAGTCGATTTGGATTATTATACGGTTATGGAAGGACTGTGGTGATTTGACCTACTTATTCTATGTCCTTAGATCACTATTGTATTCATTATTTAATACTACTAATTATTATATAAATAAAGGTAAATGTGTCTAAAAATGTTTGTATAGTTGTTACTCAATCATTGTTAAACGGCGAAATAACTAAATATGAAATTTGGTACCACAAAGATAAACCACATACTGAATTAACATATACGGTACATTTTATCAAACATCCCACAAAGCTACGGGAAACGGTTAAATCCTTACAAAAATTAAATTCAATTAAATTAAATTAATTAAATTCCTTAAAAAAATTAACTCATTTTCACATTACTAATATTATTAGTAATGTGAAAATGAGTTAATTTTTTTTATTATCTTATAGTGACTTTACAAATCACTATGAAATTTGGTAAATAACATAGGTACACACATGATGAAAAAGTATATAGTCTATTTTTTGTCTACGTCAATAAACATATACTGGTCACGTGAATGAAGTCGCAAGTTCGCATTCAGTATAAGCGTATTAAGCTATAGCGGAACACTAGGAAATGATGATAGGTGAGGATAAAATAAAGACAGAAAGTATTCATGACACAAAAACACGACTCAAATTGGCACAAAATTATCTTTGTTTCAACTTTGTTAAAATTTATTTGTTTAAACGATATTTAAGCATAGATAAACATATAAATGTAAAAAAAGCTTAATAAAATCTTTCACCGTCATAGTAATAGTGTCTAGAATTTATGATTTTGTCTTACATATGCAATTGTTCGAAATGTGGACATGGAGGAGAATGGAAAGGATAAGGTGGACAGAAAAATTAACGAACGAGGAAGTCCTAAAAAGAGTGAACGAGAAGAGAACATTGGTTGAAATAATAAAGAATAGAAGAGGCAAAATGCTGGGCCACCTTATACGACATGACGATTTTTTAAGAGCATAGTAGAAGGAAAGATATAGGGCAAAAGAGGAAGAGGAAAACCGAGGAATAACTACATGGGACAAATAAAGGAAACACTGGGCGTCATGTCGTATAGGGAGATAAAGGATATGGCCTGGGATAGAGCTGGCTGGAGGAAGATGCATGAATTAGTTGCACCAACAAGAGGAAACTTTTAAATGAAAAGAATGCAATTGTTCATTTCTAAAAAATAGTACTTTCTTCCTATACTAACCCTACCAATATTTATTTGGTTGTGTTGACTCTAATGCCCTTTATTCATGTACATAGACAATTAGAAAAACATTGGAACTTACTCGTAGTAATGAAAATATTTTATACTAGTAACACGACTTTTTCGTAAAAAAAAAAATCTTAAACTATTATAAAATTTTAATTTTAACTACAAAAAGAAAATTATAATATTCGATTTGATAAATGAAAAGAAAAAAACATATTGTACTTATGTTACTTTAATTAATACGTGTACGAAAAAATTTCTACTTTGAGCTTAAATTTTGCTTCTGTAATTTGTTCTAAAAATGATGTTTCCACACGTCGAAAATATGTTTAGCAAGGACCGTCGCAAATCAAGCATCAATTTTTTAAATTATAATCGATTTCATTTTATGGATAGGTATGTGAGCTTTTGTTTATATAACATACTGTCTTTCGCCTTCGCTTGCATGTGGTACTCTATTTCTTGTTCTAATAACATTGCACGTGTCTTTTAAACTTAAAATGAAATAAGGTTTGGCTGGAACAAATCTCTTATTAGAGATAAGCTCGCCTTTGTATATTATGTTTATAATGAATTGTGATTAACAGTATGTTTTGTGTACAATAAACAATAAAAAATAAAAAAAATTGTATTAACTTTCTTTAACTTCTGTACTAATGAAATTCTATACAAACTTTCAATTCTCGCTTTACCCCCTTATGGGTTTAATTTTTAAGATATATATATTTTCCCCCCTTCTTATTGTTCACTTACGCTACATAAATAGTCTATCAAGGTTCCAGATTCAGTGGTTTCAATTGTGCATTAATAATAATAATAAATAGATTTATTTTCTCTTTACAATTCATTACAGCGAAATACAATGAGACATGCTTATATTAATCAAATTATAAATATAATTGTGAGAGACTGGTGCCTGAGATAGGTATAAGAATACCTGTATTACAGCTCACCAGGGCCTCACTCCACAGGGTTACTTACTAAGTACTTGTAACATAATAAGTGAATTCAATGTAATAAATATAATTTATAGGAAGAGATTATTAATTATAATTTAATCTGAAAGTAATGTGTGTGCGCGCGCGTGTGTGTGTGTGTGTGCGAGTATGTGTGCGTGTATGTATGTGTGTGTCTGTAGCTGCATGCGTATCTCTGTGTGTCTTTGTGTTTGTACGCATTCATATAACAATTAAGGTTTTTAAGTTATTTTCACGCATTGATATATGGATCAATTAGCATCTGTTTTAATATATATAAACTTAAAAAAGCGTAAACCCTATCGTTTGATTAAAAAATCTTATTAAAAGCTGTCATATAATCTCTATCTCTCTGAAGTCGTCTTCTTTTTCAAGCGACTTCGAAAAAATTTTTCAATTCTATTATATTTTCTATGTGCGTTATCTCATAGCTCATTTATAAATCAATTTAAAAAAATTCTTTTTTCAATTTCAAATTGGTCCCATAGAAATTTTATCAAAATCGGTCTAGTAGTTTAGTTTTTAAACCCCATTACTAACAATTCCTTTCCCTCCATTGTGTTTATACTGCCATACATATTTGTATTAAGTGCTACATTGAAATATATATAACATGTTGATACCTGTTGATGTAATATTCCTATTAATATAATAAATGCGGAAGTTTGCAAAGATGGACGAATGGAGGCTTTTTTATACTACTTAGGTGGTAAACGAGCATACAGCCCACCTGATAAGCAGTTACCGTAGCCTATGAACGCCTTCAATTTGCATTACGCGGGAGTTGCCGACACTGAAGAACCCCCCCCCCCCCAGCCCTTTGCTGTAATCTCTTGGAAAAAAACTCGACAGGGAAAGACTCTTTCTTACATGGGATTAAAGTAGTAACTACTGAACGCATTTGAAATTTGGTACATGGATAAATTATATCCTAACTTACTTAGCATATAGGATACTTCATATATTTTCTGAATCCCGCGGATAAAGTCATGGGATACAGCTAGTAAACAAATAAATCAGAGGGAGACTTTGTACAAACTGTTCCACTCGTGTTTCAACCGTGAAGCAGTTGTGTTTGCATGGCTGTGTTTCGGTTCGAAGGGTGGGATATGGCGTGAATTTACTGGGTACAGAGAAATAACACCTGAGTCCTCAGGAATGGCAACGTATGAGGGGTATCATGGGTGAAATAGTATACTCTGTTATGTCCATGGTACTGCTCATGTCTATAGGCGACGATTACCACTTTCCATCAGGTGGGTCGTCAGCTTGTTTGCCATTTTAAGTTGTATAAAAAAAATTGACACGGGAGAACTACGTGTAACATATTCCTTTATATTTGCACATACTATGTAAATGCTTCGAGCATAAATAGATTTTCCTTGGAAGTAGCGTCACATGACAAGGCCATATACGAGTACATATCAGTTTTAAGCCTTTAATATTTACATATTATTTATAATATACTACCTACTCACATTTTCTGGAACTATCTTTATTTTCTAAATTTAAAAAATAGATTTTGTTTCACAAAAAAAAACCGGCTTCAGTTGTGGCAAAACCGGTTATTTTGATTTAAATCCGAACTATTGTACCGATTTTGGGAAAATTTCTATGAGACCAATTTGAAAGGATATCCTTTAAATAAAAAATCCAAATCAGTTTATAAAAAAAATACAACTAAATTGCTGACCTCTTCCTTTTTTTAATATCGATTGAAAATAGATTTCATGAACTTAATATAAAGATTTCACTATGAATTGTTTTAATGAAGCATGTTTAAAACTTGTAATAAGTTTTTGTGAGTTCTGTGACATAAAACATTACACACAGTTATATTACCAACCATTACAAAAAAAAAATCATACATATAAACTCTGAAAAATAATAATCAATCTAAATTGAAGAAATTTTTAAAATCAAATTTTATTTATTTATTCTTTTGTACACATTGAAATATATCTGCAGGTCGGATTTAATGCCTGATGGCATTCTCTACCAGTTAACCGTTACGCTAAACAGAGATAGTAAATGGTAGTGCATTGATTTTTAGTATTTTTTAAAAACTACTTTTTTTTATTTTTTTTTACCAAAGGGGAAAGACTTTGAACGAAAGTCGTTTGCTTGGACACCTCTATCTCATTCGTGTTTTTACCGTGAAGCAGTTGTGTTTGCATGGCTGTGTTTCGGTTTGAAGTATTGTTTTGATTTACAAGATACAGAGGTATAATACCTCAGTCCTCAGGAATGGAACGCATGGGGGGTATCATGGGCGAAACAGTATACTCTGTTATGTCCATGGTACTGCTCATGTCTGTAGGATACAGTCACCACTTTCCATCAGGTGGGCTGTCAGCTTGTTTGCCATTCTAAGTTGCATGAAAAAAAAATTATAATATGTTCTAAGTGGTTTGTTTTTATCTGAGATGACTGTGAGGCAACTTTATTCTATGCAGTGCCTATATATATATATGACATTTCTTTTAAGTTGTCATTCTGATAAACTAAAATACTTTCTCGGATTTGATTGATATTAATTACTCTGTGCATCCAGGAGTCGTGAATCCCGGCGACGCATCAATCATCCACCGGCTGCGCTGTACAGGTGAGTACTCTTATACCATAAATCAGTAATACGTAAGTTGAAACAGAGGTGGTAATATTAACAATAGATCTACCAACGTTGTTTTACAAAACATGGTGGATTGATGCTTAATGTAATTTAATGTAATGTTAAAACAAATGAGTATAAATAGAAAATAATGCTTGCTAAAATTATAAATGTGAAAGGAATAATACATCATAAAATTTCTTAATTTAAAGTAAATACCTATAATTTAATAATATGTTGTTGTCGTAGTGGGTGGCACACCTACTGTAATTATTGTACTAACAACTTATTTTTAAATAATATATATATATATATATATATATATATATATATATATATATATATATATATATATATAAAATTAAACACTATGATTAGCAGAAAAGAAAGCGTGATTGGCTTTTTTTTATGGGTGAAAATGGTATGGTAACCCCGCCTGCGCTAACGGGATACGCTGGCGGAGCACCAGTGAAGGGTGATAGATGAGAATGAAAACAGGCCAGATAGCCCATCATAATGAATTCATCAGGAATTAACCATGATAGTTTCCAAGGTGAACCGCGAGGAGGTCAACCTGGTTGGGTATATTGCTAGTAATGGGATTCTCAGTCTTCATTACTAACAATCCCTTTCCCCCAGCGTGGTTGGCTTAGAGCTATCTGCATCGTTCAACTTTCCTCGGGCTGTAATCATTTGGAAGTAATCTTTTACTTGATGGACACGTTTCTCCATCAAGTGAAGATTTCAATCGAAACCTTTCTCCCTATAAATTATCAGTTTTACTACGTTTTGAATCGTTGAAATAATGATGCATGTTTTTACATGACTTGTGTTTATAAGTATTTTTGCTTATTCAAGAAAAGCAATTGTAAATTACTATCTCAGGTGTACATTAAACAACAATGTATCCTAAATAAAATAGCACAATTATAATTTTGTGAGTATGTCGAGTGCGTTACAAAACAGAAAGAGACAACTAATGCATCTGACTATCACATCACTAATTATAATAATGAGAAATTAAAATTTATTGTATCTTAAAAATTATGATTATGAAATACGCTTTAATAAGCTGCGACCAATGCGTGTACATAATAATTAAGACTTATTAAGTTCTATTCAGAACTCGAGCATTAAAATCACTGCAGACACTAGATGTGAATAATAGTTGGTGATACCTTCCAGTACCCTTGGAGAACGAGTACGCACCAGTGCTCCTTCAGCGCTACAATGCGCGCTCTTCTGCGGTGGATCGCGATGCCAGTATGAACTGCCTCTGCAGCGAGCGGCTGCTATACAGGGACTATACTCTGATTGGTAAGTTCCTCACATGAAACTCCCTTATACGAGATACTAAAGGTCTTATCCATCTCTGATTCCGATAGCTTTATTCCCTTACATGTTATGTCTTTGTGTACAACGAAGGTGGCCTAAACACTTGATACTAGCACTGCCAATACTAGTATTACTTGCATACAAAAATCGTCTGCAGGGGACCTATACCAATCGTGTTTTTAATTTCGTACCACATTCTACCGATCAGAATGAAGTACAGCCAAGTGAACGTAGCAGCTTAGCTGCAGAAATAAATGAGAAAGAAGTATCCTATGATTCCCATACGAAAAATTTTGCATAAAACCTCGAAGTAAGTAAATATACATATTCGTAAAAACTGAAACAGTGAATTCAGACCATTATTCTGAATTGAAAATCAGTGGAAATTCTCTCCTGAAAAATTTAAACTTACCCGCTTTTTTTATTTAAAATCTGTGATATCATGTCATAATATAAAGAAATAATAATATTTTATAGATAAATACTATGTAATATCAAAAAACAGCAAAATTCATATTAACAAATTCCCAAAGAGGGTTGACGTCAGGCAGGCGGCCGGTCGTAAAACTATAAGCTAAATCCTTTTGTAATATGAATAAAACCATATTACGCCGACCCCAAATAATAATTGGGATAAGAGTAGGAAGATGATGAGATGATGATGATTCATATTAACATCCATTTGGGTTGCCTGCGAGACTGTGCATTTGGGTCGCCAGTTTTCTCAAGGAACGTAGCATTAAGGTCGTAGTCGACGGTGCATGCTCTGATTTAAAACCTTTGAATGCTGGTGTCCCGCAAGGCTGTGTACTATCTCCGACTCTGTTTCTTCTGCATATCAATGATATGTTACAGATAAGTAATATTCATTGCTATGCGGACGACAGTACAGGAGATACATTATATACCGGTCATGCAAAGATCTCGCGGGCACATACCGATGAGTGCCGGAATAGACTTGTGTCTGAAATCGAAACTTCACTCCATCAAGTTTCGATCTGGGGTGAACAAAATCTTGTTCAATTTAACCCCAAAAAGACACAAGTCTGCGCGTTTACCGCAAAAAAGACGCCGTTTGTCGTATCTCCTCACTTTCAGGGCACTTCCCTTGATAAAAAGTCAAGTCTAGGAATTCTGGGCGTTGATATATCTTGCGACGTCCAGTTTTGCGGTCATCTGGAGGAGAAGGCTAAGATAGCTTCCAAAAAGTTAGGAGTGCTCAATAGGGTGAGACGATATTTCATGCCAGAACACCGCCTGAAATTATATAAAGCCCAAGTCAGGCCGCATATGGAATACTGTTCTCACCTGTGGGCAGGAGCGCCACAGTACCAACTCCTTCCGTTAGACCGCATTCAAAGTCGGGCGGCTCGAATTATCGATAGTCAACGCCTTACTGTCCGACTTGACCCATTGAAACTGCGCAGAGATGTTGCATCTCTGTGCATCTTCTACCGAATTTATCATGGGGAGTGTTCTGAGGAATTGTTCGGATTGATACCTGCTGCTGATTTTCACCACCGTACAACCCGCCACAAACTAAAGTTTCATCCCAATCATCTGGACGAGTGGCGGTCTTCCACCGTGCGTTTTTCAAGGCACTTTCTTCCACGCACAACCATTCTTTGGAATCAACTTCCAGCAGCAGTATTTCCGAACCGATACGACAACATAACCTTCAAGAAAAGAGTATATTCCTTTTTAAAAGGCCGGCAGCACACCTGCAATGCCGCTGGTGTTGTGGGTGATCATGGGCGGCGGTAGTCACTTACCATCAGGTGAGCCGCATGCTCGTTTGCCCCCTGTGTTGTAAAAAAAAAAAAAAAAAAAAAAAAATCCAATCGCGACAAACGATGTCAGCTGCGTAAGATAAACGCGACAAGTATACGAAAACTACCCTACGAAGAAGAGCCGTTGACGGTTCGGAATAAATATCCCGCGTCGCGTCGCGTGCAGCACAGTAGGTACATCGTAAAATTTCAAATACATTGCGCAGCGTCAAAACTATGAATCGTTAATTATATAGCTGTGGTGAATTTTTGATGGGAAAATTATCGGCAATCTGATTCAGATCATTCATCTGAATCAGCTGTTTTCGTTTTGGCCACCTGTCCCTTCTACTCTGTATATACTTAATTATCACCTAATAAAATCTTATCTTTAATAACTGTCTCTTAGTTAGCATTCTCTGCATCTACCAAATATGGCAATTTTTCCACTAGTTAGCATCATGTGCGGTCTACCTTTGTTCACTCATTAACTAAGTAGGTCAGTGCGACCTTTACTTGGTGTGGGTGTTATTTCTAATGAGGCCCACCTGTTTCAGGATCATTAATTATCCAAAATACTGCTTTATTACATAGCAGCTAATATCTTGATCGTAAATATATATTATTACACGATAAGATTAATTTATCTTTTGTATTTTAAACTATAATACGCACCTACAACATGCATATGTCTTCCTTGTCTTTCATGGGGTAAGCAAAAATGTTAGGCAAATCATAGAATAATGCGTATTACAGATTCTATTATGATGTCCATGGAAACCTCATGTCTCTATTCTAGAGGTTTAAAGTGATACACTTCCAAACTCAGGAATCTTTACTTCATCTTTCAAACCGAAACATAATCCTGTAAGCACAGTTGCTTGGCGTTAAAATCAGATATTTTCTGTTCTGATATCTTGTTTATTTTCTTTACATGTTTATTTCCCTTACTTACCTTACCTTACCTTTTAGCGGCTTAACCAATTTCTATGAAATTTAGTACATAGATACTATATAGGATGGAAAAGTCGGTCAGTGATCATATTTCGGTCATGCAGTGCAAGTCGCGGTTATAAGCTAGATCTTTATAAATGGTATAAAAATACGTTTTTGAATAAAAGTATTTTTATATGGCGCCAAAAATATATAATAAATTGCCGATTTTGTTGCGTGATGTAAAATCCACTTATTTAAAGAAAGGCTTAAAGAATTTTTGCTTTTAAAAATATATTATTCTGCAGCAGACCTTTTAAATGGTAATAATACGGGATAGGCTTCCGATTTGCTGGTACCCCTTCATGTTTTGAAAAAAAGAATAATATTTTGTATGCCTATAAGGTTGATAATAGAGTGCCACATTCTATTTTACATCATATGTATGCATCTATTATTCACAAAATAAATTATTGATTCATTAAGGATTTGGCAGTTCTTAATATTTATCAGGTCCTAAAGCGACTTTAAAACGTCCTTCGATGTTTCCGTTGCGCGTATTATCATTTAAAATACTTAACTTTTCTAGCATTATGCAAACATGGAAAATGCAGAGAAACATACATTGCTATAAAATTAAATAGGACTGCAGTATGACGCCGGCGTTACGAGTAGTAATGTAACAGACCTAATTATAATTACTCGGGGAAGTCACGCGACGTGTGGACATAATATAATATTTTATTTCTTTCACTTATTTTAAATTCAAGGATGTGACGAATGTAAGGGGCACATTTGCCTTCACTGCGACAAAAGTTTGCCTTCATAAAGAAATTTATTCCATTAATCATGCAAATCATTATTTATTTTAGAAATTTCGAATACTTTGTAGATTCTAAGGTTTTATTATTATATTACCCATTTACTGTCCATTGCTGAACATAGGCCTCCCCGATAAAGAGGGTTTTACAAGTAGTTGCCAATCTTGACAGGTGAACATACTAACATAGACTTGAACCGCAGTTGAATTTTTGTGATATTTTAAGAGGGACGCTGCTGCCATACTTCGACTTCACTTAGTCGCCTCTTACAACACCTACGGGAAAGTAAGTGGTGGCCCATTCTATGCCAGGACCACACGGCTATTGTAATAGATAGATAGATAGATACTCTTGTTTCCTCCAAAAGATTACAATAGTAAACTTATTATAAATATAAATAATTACAAGAAATAATCACAATGAGAAAACAATGGGTGACTTTATCGCTAAGAGCGATCTCTTCCAGCCAAACTTCGAGCGAGTGTCTAATTTGCCTTAATATTTTTTTGTTGTATAAGTATGTATATGTTTCATATTTTTTACTATAAAATTAAATAGTAATAAAAAAACACAACTATATCTATGTAGATATATTGCTATTGATAATTTATGTCAAAAATAAAAAAGGATAGACAATTTTGAACATTAAATATAGCGTCACCTGCCTTTAATACCATCTTAATCCTTATGAAATTACTGGATTACTAATATAAATTGAAAATGGTAGTCATGAATATCTGTAGTTTATGAATTTTGAATCAGTCTATAAGTGTAAAGACCTTTGACACTCTGCCTATATCATAATATATCTAGCATGAATTTAAATCAAATAATTAGCCACGCAAAAATTGTCGTGTTCTTAATAACATGTGCGGCGAAAAGGGATTATTAGTATTAGGTCAATGTCCACGCAGTTCTTCTTGGAAACCATCTTGGTTTTTTTTTGATAGGTGAAAATTGTTTGGTAACTCCGGCTGCGCTAACAGGATACGCTGGCGGAGCACAAGTGAAGGGTGATAGATGAGAATGAAAACAGGTCAGTTAGCCCATCATGATGAATTCATCAGGAATTAACCATGATAGTTTATATTGCTAGCAATGGGATTCTCAGTCTCCATTACTAACAATCCCTTTCCCCCCAACCATCTTGGTTAATTATTGTTGAAATTTGTCTTGATAACTAACCTGCTTTCATTCTCACCTATCATCTCTCACTGGTGCCTTGCCATGTGGGTTACCAATCCATTCTCACCCATTAAAAAAATATCATGTTTCGTGAAATTCTGTTAATCATCATATATTACATTATATAATTTGTGAATCAAATCACAACAAAAGCAGTTGTGTTTGCATGGCTGTGTTTCGGTTTGAAGGGTGGGATATGGCGTGAATTTACAGGGTACAGAGGAATAACACCTGAGTCCTCAGGAATGGCAACGTATGGAGAGTATCATGAGCAAAACACTATACTCTGTTATGTCCATGGTACTGCTCATGTCTATAGGCGACCGTTGCCACTTTCCATCATTGTAGGCTGTCTGCTTGTTTGTCATTTTAAGTTGCAAAAAAAACATGTTTGTAACTATTTAACCACATCAATTTTCAATATCTTTCACCACATAATTACATTTCTGTTTATCAAAATGCTGACTGGAAGAGAATGCTAGTAATATAGCATTAATCCACCTTTTTGTAGCAAACATTTTGTTGTAATGTGGTGAATAAAGAATAAATAAATATAACACATTATTGTGATGAACCAAAGTTATCTATAAACCTTCAAACAATGTCTTAATGTGCTTAAGTTCAAATCAACCCGTATGTTGCGTGTTTCAGGATTACAGATGATATACTGGCGATGGCACGCCCCAGCACCGCCAGTATAGCAGCCAGGAATATTATACAACAGTTCCATAGGTAAACATTTATTATACGAATAGACTGGACCAATAACATGATAAAACTGTCGAATCGAGTCTTTACCAATCGATTCATTGATTTTAATCGAAATAATTAGCTTCTGTTGTTTAGTATTTAAAAGAAGTATTTAAACCAGGCTTTTTAAACTACCGTTAATAGAAAAACAACTGTTCCGAATGTTCATAGTCGTATGGAGTATTAAGTATATCCAGTATATGCCTAGTATCAATGCACGAGACAAAGTATAAAGCTGATGGACTGTATTATTTATTTGTCCTTTCCGTTTTCTCTCTCTTTAGCGTCATATTAGTAAGCACATTTATTAAAAGTCAGCCTCTACTTAATTATGGCAATAAAATTACTGGCTACAGGATGCATAACACTTTAAGCCTCAAGAATGGCAATGCATAAAGGATATCACGGTCGGTACTGTATACTCTGTTGTGTCCATGGTACTGTTCATATCTATAGGCGATGGTTAACACTTTCCGTCAGCTTGTTTACCATTTTAAGTCTTATAAAAAAATCGGTCCAGACTAAAGTCGTTTTTGTATGAAGTTGCAATTCGTTTTAGTTGGGGTATCCGCACGGTGATCAACCTTCAAATGCCTGGCGAACACGCCAGCTGCGGTCCACCGCTCACCAAGTCGGGATTCACGTATGACCCTGTGATATTTATGGCCAATGATAGTAAGTACCGTGCTTTTTACAAGGAACAATAGCGTCTCGTATCTCCTGGGCTCAGGTACAGATATGTAGGACATAACATAATAGAGACTACACACAAAAATCTAAAACATTGCTTCGCTTTTGTAATAGAAAGAGATCAGGGAACAATATCCTTATGCTCAATTTCTCCCGAGATGACATAACTGTATTTAATGTGAAAATGTACAGCATATTTTGTGTCCACATATGTAAACAAAATCATCCTTTTAGCAACTGTGATGATTTCATTGTTCATCATTAAATACAGACAGACCTTACCGACTCATAAAGATCAACTGTCACAAAGGTTTCTGACTACCATTCCATTGACTTCCTACAACACATTTTAATTCAATGCTCTGTTTTTGTGAAGGTTTTCCTTTGTAACGAAATTTTCTTCCTCATTGTCCCATCTTATGGAATCGGAACGTGGTATAACACTGCTTGTGCTATGAGAAAACTCTACGTCATTCAAAAAACTATGGAGAAGTATACTTTACATTTATTTACATTATAAAACATTGAAAATTTGGCATGTTAAAGTGCCCGAAACCAATAACATTTAAAGAAATTGACTGTAAGAGATCCTTTTATGGGAAAAATCTGCTATTGTATACTAAATCTTTTAATGTGTCCAATATAAATTATGTATAATAAAGATTTTACAAAATAATACAATACAATAATTAATTGCTACTTCATATTTTCAGTATATTATTACAACTTCGCGTGGCCAGATTATGGGGAGGCGAGTTTAAGCGGACTGCTTGATATGGCCAAAGTATTGTCCTTTGCGCTTCAAGAAGGAAGAGTTGCCATACACTGCCATGCAGGTAATATTTTTTATTATAATATTTCGCTATCTTTTATCATTTTACGAAAATAATACCAACTTAATAAAAAAAAACTCGATCATTTGACTTACTTATTATTTAGAATTTTCAAGATCATATTCCAGCTTAAACCTTCTAATTTTCAAATTGATTGTATTTCTAAGGCCTAGATAGTCCTATAAGCCGGGGATTTTTATGTATAAATTATATAATATAAAAGTTATACTACGTATTGAAGGATATGGTTTATCTAGGAAAATTATCCATGAAATCTATTTAAGCTTGATATATCTAATAAACTTCTAAACACCTAAAGTCTAAAAACATGCAAATCGTCTATATGGGTACTCCTCTCTTATATCTGCCGCTAAGTCGTTGTCGTGTTTTGGTTTTCACATTAGGATATAACAGTAAAATTACAGGAATTATACAAAGAGATTACACCGTAATCTGGAAAAGTAACGCATGAGGAGTTTTAGCGTACTTGCTGTTAATGCTACTCATGTCACCACATTAGATCTGATAAATCGTCAAATTGTTTGCTATTTTAAGTTTAGTTAACTGCTGAACATGATCGAACCATACCGTAACATTGTGAAATGGTCTTTCCCATGACCCTTCAACCTACCGCGGATTCTTCAATCGTAGCGTGACATCCTATAATCTCATATTCTTCGAACGTAACGCGAAAAAGCACTTAGTAAGCCGGCATAGTTTGAACAACCGAGAGAATATTCTCTTTTCAGTTGATTTAGTTTATGGACCTTTTTATCCCTGTGTTCACTCAGGATGATGTAATCACATGTCATGCTATAATAGAAAAAAGTTACATAAAAAAGATTATAATAATTATAGGATTTATTCTGTTATTTTGTCTCCAGGCTTAGGGCGCACCGGCGTCCTCATAGCGTGCTACCTGGTATACTCCCTGCGGGTACGAGCCAACGACGCAATCAGATTAGTCCGCAAGAAGAGGCCCAAGTCTGTCCAGACCTCCGGACAGATACTTTGCGTGCAGCAATTCGAGCACTATTTACTGCCGCAGACTGTTGTGTTCAGTTCCAAGTAAGTATAAGCTATAAACTTTTTTTCTGGTGAATTTGTCACGATTGGTTAATTAGCCTGACTTCTTCCTCATCTATCATCATTCACTGTTAACGTACACGGAATTGGCTTTGCATTTTTATTTCTTAAAAAAACCGTAATCTCAGAGAAGCGAGGTGGAAAATATTGTTATTTTGAGTCAATCAAGACCATTGCTAACAATATGTCAAGTTGTAGTTCCCAGGTAATCCCATCTGGAAAACATTGTGGTTAATTTTTGATGAATTCGTCGACAAGTCGTGATTGACCAACTATTATTTTCATTATTTTATTTCAGCTGTTAACTGTCCACTGCTAGACATATAGCTCCTTGGGGGATTTTGTCAGTAGTTGTCACGGGTTGGCAACCGCAGTTAGGCTTTTAGAAATGTTTTAAGAGGGACGCTGCTGCCCATCCCGATACTCACTGACGATACCCACGGGAAAGGAAGGGGCGGCCCGTTCTATGCCGGAGCACACACGGCGGCTATCTATTATTATGATATTACTATCTATTATGCCTTACTGTTATTCACCTAGTGTATACCAATAGCGCAGACAAGGTTATCATTCCATTTTCATAAGAAGGTAATAATCTTCTTTTTAATCGTAAAATAACTGGATTGACTTATTACGAGTAATTTCGGCAACCATTTTCGAAATTAGACAAGAGACAATAATAAAAGTTTTTGTTAGTGCGCATATTGCTATTTCATTATGTTTCATTCATACGACAGCAAAAACGTATCTATCGATAGGTTCATTTGGCATTTGCCATTTGGTGGCTGGTGTAAAGAGAGATATTTAAACTTCTTTCAGAGAACCAATAATGTTAACTAAAGACCACAAGACAGCTGAGTTCACTTTACGCCAATATTTATATAGACAACGGGCGACACTGCACGGCTTAGAAGAAAGGGCTTTTAAAGAATTACCTAAGGTAATGAATATTATATACATATAAACGATATCTTTACCTTTTATGCTCCATTTTTTTATATACTCGTACTAAATATAACAAATAACCTGGATAACCTACCTGATGGAAAGTAATATCCGTAACCTAGGGACATCAATATTCCATGAACGTGACTGTAAGTCTCTGCAATGCCCATAGTACCCCTCGCTGCCAATCTGCCATGGTGTCCATACGCCACCATTCTTGAAGATTATGACTCTGTACCCTATAACTTCACTATCGTATCCCACTCTTCAAGCCGAAACACGTAGAGATGCTTTACGTCTGAAACTCTAGTGGAAGAAGTACCATTACAAACGAAGATAGATTTTGTAATTCTATCTTTAGTTCATGATTCTCTTCGGCACTAAAACAATGAATGACTAAATGATCGGTACTAAAAGAAATATGCTGTAGATTGATGATTTTAAAACTGTGCAATGAAGAATTACTTTCTTTTTAGAGTAACTACATCATCATCATCATCTCCCTATCCTTATCCCAATTATATAAATTTTGAATTCAGCGTAATATTTTTTTATCCATATTACTCAAGATTGGCTTTTAGTTTTACAATCGGCTGCCCGCCTAATTCAACCTTTCTTGGAAATTAGATTAATACAATAAAGAATTACTCATACAATAGGCATGGTATGTGGTATTTTCAGATTGTGTATTGCATATGTGAACGTCTTCTAAAACTATGCGGATGCCAAAGAAGTCTTGGGATCGACTTTCGCGTGAGGAACCGTCCGTTCTACAAAGCGTTTCTCGCGTACCGGCTGAAGCAGACCCGAGTACCGGACCCCACAACACCGGAAGAAGTTCCGACAGGTGAATAGAAAATTCTTTTTAGAGTATTAAATCGAAATGATACGTATAAATCTTATGGTGCAACCTCATCGGTAGAAAGAACTGGAAGAGTTTTACTCTTAAGACTAATCCGATCACGGGCTTAGTTTGAAAAAAAAAACTGTGCGAAACCGGGTCGTTAGTCCGATATAAAAAAAAAATCATTTTTCAAACTAATTGTGACGCAGATCAAGTAGCAGCTTTGCCAATGGTGAAGTGGCGGGACCCGGTGGAGGAGGATATTGAACGCAACCTGGAGTCCGTCAGCAGAATCACGGGTGCCTCCAATGGTATATTACCCGCACTGCAGGTCCACGAGGTATAACGTTGGAAAGAATTTATACAATTTCATAGCCATCTTTTTATTAAGGTATCTAATGCCAATGATTTAGATTACTAACATGGTGCTTATGGGAGGCGAAATTTTTCTTATAGTTTATAAATCATGTTTCTTTGTGAATAAATATTCAATGTCACTGTGTATACTACGTTAAAATTATTTCGATTTCGCCCTGTATAAATAAGTACGTAAAACTATAACCAGAGTAAAAAAGGGATATGGGTATTCGTAATCCTATTGTTAGCAATATAGCCTATCAGGTCAAACTACATGCGGTTCCGCCTGGAAACCGTCGCTTTTGTATTCGTCGTGAGGGGCTAACTGATCTGTTTCCATTTTAACCTATCATCCTTCACTGGCATTCTGCTAACCTATACCAATCACGCAAGCGGGGTTCCCATTCTATTATCATCCAATACGAATACAAATCCCTACTATAGGTAAATAGCTTCATTTGCCATGTCTTTGGGAGTCTGCGGGCAGTTTCCTTATTAAGCATATTAATAATCAATTATTTGAGCCCTCTGATTGTTCGGTAGGCATTCGTCGTGGATCACCACAGTCTTCCAGATGACAAGCTCAAGTATCTTAAGCAAATGCGAACGGACATCAACCAGAGGCGAGATGCAATCAATAGGATCGACGAGGAGGTACAACTCGTGTGTTTGTTATTTTATTATCATTCATCAAACATCGTTTACATAATTTTATATTAGTGGAATTATAAATTATAAGATGAAGGAAATATATCAAAGGAAAGTCAATGCACAATTTTATGGTACGGTGTACAATTTTATATTCCTCGGACTCATCCAACGTAGCGTCAAATAGAACTTAGTGAGCCGGCATATTGCGGCCAATATTAAAAATAAAACATTCTCTTATATATGTATATATTACAAGAGCTTTTTTGTTCGGGTTGGTTTATTTAAATGTTGTTACGATGATTCAGGAGGACCCGACAGTACTGACGTGGTTGCTGTGCGAGTGGCTGGAAGGTCTGAAGCAACCAGTACTGGACCGGGATGACCTCGCCGCAATAGTGGGCCGCGCGCAGAACGTAGAATCCTGCTTGCTAACGTTGCCCATGGTAAGGAAACTCCAAAAAAAAAAAAACTATCTATAGTTGTCTATTGTTATCTACTTATTATGTTGCTGTATAAACAAATTGTAAAGTCGGATTCATAGTATAATGCCGGTCTCGATCCGCTCTTGCCCCGCTCTCGCTATGATCAGTAGAAACAGTTCGGTTCGAGGTTGATCGTGACTAGAACGGAACGGGCCTGAATTGTAGTGTACCGAGAGTGAACTGAGAGCGAGCCGAGACCGATACTATAATATGTTTCGAGCCTAAGTAGTAGTAAACATTTAAATTAATGTATGATGCCGAAGATTGTTGTCTCGTTCTATCTCATACATTCGACAACGAGGGATAACGTAATGGTAGATTGGTTTGCCACTTAGGTAAATGGTGAAGCCTGTATCGCATAGGCGAATTTAAGATTTAAGGGTTGGGTGTTCTGTATCCATCCCAGAATTATCTGATGCCCATCTCAGGATGCGAGCAGTGCTTTCAACCGAGTACCAAGTAAATGTCTGACAGTATATATACGCTTTTTTTAAGAGGCCAAGCCCACCCTGAAACGTAATCTTAAATACGACAAAATGAAAGTTTAAAGTAAGGACTAGAAGAGCATCTAGCGTCTAGCCTAGTCGCATAATCCTCCAACACATAGAGTTTTTTTTGTAAAAGCCAGTTTCAAACTTACGATCTGTATATAATAGTTCCTACGCCACTGGGCCAAGAAACTATTGATTATTTATAGTTTTTTTATACATCTAATTAATTAAACCCCCAGGAGGACGCCATGCTCCTAGAATACCTACTGCGCTTCGTGACTCGCTTGCGGCCTCTGGCGGCTACCAAAAAGATAGACATTCTAAAACGTCTCCTTACTTCCCTCGCGCATCAAACCATCATGATCAGTGGCCGATGTCTTCCAACCCGCAAGGACTACCCTCGACTGAGAGACGGAACTTGCAACCAAGTTATCAACTTTTTTTTGAGAACTATCGTGGAACTCCAAAGGGATATGATGAAACCAGGAAGGGATGATGCTGACGTAGTTATTCCAATGAGAAGGTTCAGATTAAAGGCTTGGAAATAAAGTGTTGTGTTATTTTCTTATTACCTATTAGTTACATCGTTTTAGTTCAACATTAAAAATAAGAGAAGGGAGAAATCTGACTAAATCTCATCTCAAAAATATTTGTAAGACTATTCAAAATTTTACATCATATTTTTATTTCCGTTAAGTTTTACTCTTACTTTACGGAAAAAAAATGTAACAAAAGGATAAAGAATTCGAAAAATTATGTTAGTAATTTAGCGGAATAAAGTAAACTATCTACGAACTAACTATACAAAACATAAAGAACCAAATAACAAAGATATTAAAATGTCTCAGTTAAATCTCACCAATGTGCATGTGGCGGGATTCAATTCTTAAAACACACCTTGTGAATGTCGTCTTTATAATATTAAACACAGTTAATAATAATACTATATTAGTGGGGGGAAAGGGATTGTTAGCAATGGAGTTTGACAGCCTCATTGCTAACAATATGCCTTATTAGGTCGACCTACACGTGGTTCCCCCTGGAAACCATCGTGAACAATTCTTGTTGAATTCGTCACGATGGGCTAACTGACCTGTTTCATACTCACCTATCATCCTTCACTGGTGCCCCGCCGGTGTATACCGATAGTGCGGGTGGTGTTACCATTCCATTATCATCCATTAAAAAAATACTATATAGTAGTATTAACGAAGACAACTTTTAGATTCTCCACTCTTTAGGATAACTTTTAAGTAGGAATTTTTCATCTCATATAATTTTCCTATTATCCACGAGATGGCTCTTTACGTAAAAAAAAAAATTATATTGGAATAATTTAATTTTTATACTAAATTATGTATACTTAATTATATAATTTGCAGTAATATTAAACTTTTTTTAGAAAATATTATAAGAGTTAAAAATGTGTGTAATTTTATTGTAATATCACACAATATCAATCTGTAATACATCTTACAATTAAAACACCTTGTCGCTAAGATATTCGACGAAAAAGCGCGGGAAACGTTTAAAAAAGCGGGAGTGTTTTTTGATCTTCTTTAAATTAATTTTATTTTTAATTATATAAGGATTAGTCTTATTTATATATTGTGTATTAGATTGTATATATAATTGTATATTTTGTAGTAATAGTGTTTGTTGCTGTAAATATTGGTAAGTAAATTACCTATATTAATTAGACATTATGGATCCACCTATAGACCCTGGGGGGACAACCCCTCAGGTGTCTGCAAATATAACTATCCCATTTAATAATAGTTTTGATATATTGGGTGAATCTAGTATGGACACAGATGGTTCTAGCGTTGCAAGTTCTAAACGTAAGCGAGTACGTGGCGAACGTCGCATTTGCAAACATTGCAATAAAAAACGAAGGAGGCACACCAAAGGTCTCGAATCTAAAATTAAAGATAGTGATTGTCAATGTATTGAGGATGAGAATCAAACTCTAGTATCAATACCAGTTGTAAATAATACCGAGTCTGTTAAACCTGCTTCTCCACCCAGTACTTTAAGCAGAACTTTGTACAATGCCGAGGATGTAGCTCCTTATGTCGTTCATGTACAAAAAAATGAAACACATCCTAATGATAACACTACATTACATCCTATTGCATTTGGTCGCTTTTTACACACTAATAAGATAAATAATATAGTGAATGGTAGCCTCAAAAGAATAGGAAGAAACCGTTTATCGCTTTCTTTCTCAAATTTTGAAAATGCAAATGCATTTTTAAATAATAGTCACTTAGAAACACATAATTTTAAGGCATTTATACCTTCTTTCCATGTAACCCGTATGGGAATTGTGAGGGGTATTCCTAAAGATTGGACAGAAGAGGAAGTAATCCAAAATATATCAGTACCTATAGGTTGTGGGAGAATTCTAAAAACCAGAAGAATTAAGAAAAAGACCATTAATGAAGGACAACCAAGTTTTATTAATACTGAAACCATTGTTATTACTTTTGATGGACAAATATTACCAAAAAGAGTATTTATGTTTTACACATCATTAACTGTAGATTTGTACATTTACCCCACTATCCAATGCTATAACTGCTGTAGGTTCGGACATGTCAAGATGCAGTGTCGTTCAAATCCTCGGTGTTATAAATGCAGGCAAAATCATACAGGTGATAAATGTGAAGTAGATGAGGAAAATGTTTCTTGTATCTTGTGTAATGGTTCTCATTCAGCAATTAGTAAGAAATGTCCTGAATATGCACGTCAGAAAGCCATTAAAGAAACAATGGCCCACAGTTGTGTTTCTTATGCTGAAGCATCAAAATTTCATCCTCCCACTTCTAAACTATATTCAGATGTATTAACATCATCATCTCCGTCCAATAAATCTCATTTTCAATCTTCTTTCCTCAAAGAGAAATCATCATTACCACATATTCAATCATCACATAAAAAAACAGTTACGCTTAAACCACGCTCTCCTCAAAAAGCACAACAAGGATATGATCGTTCTGCCCATGAAGCCATAGTTAAGGAATATAATATTCCTGCTCCCTCTAATGGTTGTGCATTATCATCAAATAATATTGACAATAATCAATCCATCTTTGATATTATTCTCATGCTTATTAAAGTGTTATCGCAATCGAAAATGATACAAACAACTTTACCACCGTCCAACGATGCCATTTACAATGTATTTTCTCAATTATTAACTTCTCACAATGGATTACAAAGTCCTAATAATTCAGTGGAACTGTCGTAGCATAACAAACAAGAAATCAGACTTATTTTATTTGATTAATAAATATAATCCTTTTATAATAGATCTACAAGAGACTTGGTTAAAGCCAGGATATCCTTTTAGGATTTCAGGCTTTACAAGTCTCCGTGATGATAGAGCTGACGGATATGGCGGTGTTGCCATATTGGTCAAAAACTCCCTTCCTTTTTCTTCTTTTTCGCTTCCTGTATATAGCGGCATTAATGCAGCTGCTATAATTATAAATGGTATCTGTTTTGTTACTTTATATATTCCTGATCCTACATGCCAAATATATTCACAACTAGAACAATTATTTTCAATTTTACCTAAACCTTTTCTCGTAATGGGCGATTTTAATGCTCAACACCAATCGTGGGGCAGTTCTACTTCTAATTTTTATGGTGGAAAACTCCTGACGATAATTGACACTTACAACTTATGTATTATTAACTCAGATGTACCAACACGTAGAACTGCACCGAATGAAGGGTTTAGTGCTCCTGACATTTCAATATGTTCTTCTGATTTAGCTTCTTCACTGTCGTGGTATCCTCATTCCTCTACTTTCGGAAGCGATCACTTTCCCCTCATTCTTTCTTTTCCAATTTCCATTCCCTCAAGTCGAAAGAGTGGTCCTCGGCTTAAATATAATTTATCAAATGTAGACTGGAATATTTACAAACAATATTTAGATAATAAAATATCGGAGTTACCTATTGTTTACCATGGAAATGAACATCAATGTTGTAATGACTTGATGATAAATATGAAGGAGGTTGCTGATTTATTATTTCCTGTTAAAAATAGTGCTTCAGGGAAAATTCCCTCGCCACCTTGGTGGGACAAAGATTGTACGGAAGCAATTAAAAATCGTAAAGAGGCTGAAAAAAATTATAATAATTACATGACACCAGAAAATTTTGAAATTTACACCGCAGTTTCACGTTCTACTCGAAAACTACTGAAAAAAAAGAAATTAGAAGGCTGGAGAAGATTTTGTTCTTCTATCTGTCCAGAAGTTAATTCATCAGTCGTTTGGAATAATATTAAAAGATTCAGATCTGCCTTTAGTGATCATACATCACGTTCTGCACTCGATTTAACTTTAGCGAATAAATTTTTAGATCGTCTTGCTCCTAGTTATGTGCCGGAATGCCTTTACAATATTTCTCTATCCGTCTCTGACGAATTATTCGAACTTGACTCTCCTTTTACTCTAGTAGAACTTAAAGGTGTTCTAGCTTCTATTAAAGACTCTGCACCGGGAGAAGACGGTATACCGTATTCCTTTTTTAAAAATGCTAGCGATGCGACATTAATTTACTTTTTAAATATAATTAATTCCATAATTATTTCGGGAAATATACCTACTTCATGGAAGTCTCAGATTATTATACCATTTCTAAAGCCTCATAAACCACCTTCTGAACCATCTTCATACCGCCCTGTTGCACTTTCCTCTGTCTTACTAAAGCTAGCTGAACATTTAGTGAAAAACCGTCTAGAATGGTTTTTAGAAAGTAATAACTTACTATCCCCGAACCAGTTTGGTTTTAGGAAAGGTAAGAGCACCTTAGATAATGTGAGCATTCTTATTTCAGATATTCATATAGCTTTCTCACAAAATTTGTCAATCCTCTCAGCCTTTTTAGATATAAATTCTGCCTATGATAATGTAATAATTTCTATTTTAAAAACTAAATTACAAGCTCTAAATGTACCGGTAATGCTTTCTAATTTCATTATTAATATTTTATCAGAAAGAACAATATATATGAATTTAGATGAAGATACCAAATTATCTAGAACAGTATGGAAAGGCCTTCCACAAGGATCTGTTCTCAGTCCAATCTTATTTAACATATACACATACGATCTAGAATTATTCCTTGATAAATCCGTCAAAATTTTACAATATGCTGATGATCTTTTATTATATTTTATTGCGAAGTCCATAGAATCTGCTTCTGCCAAATTATCTGATTCATTAGATTTGTTAAAAACGTGGTTAGATGCAAATGGTCTTAATCTTTCTGTAACCAAGAGTAGTGTAGTTTTGTTTTCAAGAATGAGATCACCGCAACAAATTAAGGTGCTTTATGATAACTCATACATTCCTATAAAGACTGAAATTAAATTTTTAGGTATCGTGCTAGATAATAAATTAACAGGTCTGTCCCACTGTAATTATATTTCTACGAAATGTGAGCGTAACCTCAACATTCTTAGGTGCCTTGCTGGAGTTTGGTGGGGAGCACATCCCGTTTCACTAAAACTTGCTTATAATGGTCTTATAAGGAGTGTCATTGATTATGGAACTTTTTTGTTAGCTCCAGGAAGTTCATTTGCTTTTAAGAAATTGGATTTAATTCAATCAAAGGCCTTGAGGATTATCTCTGGAGCAATGAAATCAAGTCCAATCAATGCTTTACAGCTCGAAGTCGGTGATCCACCTTTGGTTTTAAGAAGACAATATCTATCTGATCGCTTCTTTTTTCGTTGTTTACAATTATCTGATCATCCGCTTATTCAAAAGTTATCTCAACTACATATCTTTATTTCGTCTTCATCTTATTGGAAACATAAAAAACCTCCATGTTTAATACAAAGTTATGAAAAATATAAATCCATAGAATCTCCCACTTTTACATCGTCCTGTTTTCCCATTTATAAATGCTCATATCAATCTTTAGTTTTATCTCCTAATATTAAATATGATTTTGGGTTATTAAAAAATGATTCAGAATTGAATGCCAAATTTATGTTTATAACTGACATTGAATGGAATGAATGGCACTACATCTTTACTGATGCATCAAAACCAGACAATAGCGGTTGTGTAGGTGTGGGTGTGTTTCATTCACAATTTAATATCGTTCAAAAAATTAAACTTCCACCGGAGTCTTCAGTTTTTACCGGGGAATGTTATGGTATTTTAAAAGCTGTAGAATATATACTTTTAATGAAATTACATAAGGCAATAGTTTTCACTGACTCTATGAGCTCTTTGCAAGCTCTAGCCAAATATCCGTTTAAATCAAAACCAGTTTATCCCATTATTTGTGACATAAGACAAAGTCTTTATCTTTGCATGTTGAGAGGTTATTCCGTTTCTTTTGCCTGGTTACCAGGACACAGTGGTATTAGCGGCAATGACAAAGCTGACCTTATTGCAAGAGAGGCTGTAACTTGTGGTGATATGTATCCGTATCATAATTACTGTAGTGACCTAGCTTGTCTCCCAAAAATATATTTAAGGTATGCCTGGAAGGAATATTGGGAAAAAACAAGTACAATAAAAGGAAGATTTTATCGCCTTATACAACCCGATATTCCTTTCAAACCATGGTTTTGTAAATTAAAGCTTGGAAAGACCGCAACAACTATTATAACTCGTATGCGTCTAGGTCACGTATGCACACCTTCTCATTTATACAAGCTTGGTATTGTACAAAGTTCGTCGTGTAATTGCGGTGCTGAAGTGGCGGACTTGAATCATATATTCTTCTCATGTTCTAAATTTGACCACACCTCCTTTTTAATCATCTCCGATCCATCCGTGTTCCATTCCCAACTTCTATTCTTACTCTACTTTCTTCCAATGATCCTATTATCTATAAAATACTATCTTCATATATATATGATAACAATATTAAGATTTAGTTATATTACATGAATACATTTATAGTTGCATCAATTGCTTTTCCTATATATTTATAAGTATATTCTCATATGTACAAGTATATCCTTCATATCCTATAAATATCCTAGACCTAATCCTTATCCTTTCTAAATTCGTTTGTGTTAGGTATTTTTATTACTATTATCGTTTCCCCGTTTTGTTCTTGGCAAAATACCCTAATATCGGGGTGAACGCCACAAAAAAAAAAAAAAAAAAAAAAAAAAAAAAGATATTCGACAGTAAACGTCAAAGTGACATTTGGTAGAGTTCGTGTCATTACCATTGCTACGAATCGACGATTTACATTACACGTTGACCATTTACTTACATGTTTTTGCGCATTATTCATAGCATTTAAAGTTTTGATAAGTCTAAATATTATTTTAATTAAGTAGCAATGTCGTCGACTGAAGAAAATACCCAACTGAAAGCGGGTCATCCGCCTGCAGGTATGCATTGTTTCACCTATGTATTATTTGTTTACATTATTTTATAACAAAATAAAGAACTTTTGAAAATCGCAAACATAAGGTTCATTCAAATTCTTATACACTAAATGTATATGTCTTATTGTTATCTTCGATGCAAAAGTTATAATACTTACAAATAGAAACAAAGTCCTAGTTTTACCTGAATACGTAAATAAATATTATTCAGTGGTAAATAGGGTAGGTATGTCCTTGAAAATGAACCGATGCCGTCATTAAGCGATAAACTAACACATCGTATCAATTTTCCGTTCACAATTACTCAATGTTGTTCTAAACAAAGAAAAAGAAATTCAAGGTGACACTGATATATCAATAAATATGCATATATTAACATATGCTAATATTTATAGCTTTCTATCATGAATAAATGGAATATACTTACATGAATAAAAAAATATTTTGAATTTGAATAAAAAAAAAGTAAATATATTAATGTTGTACATATATTATTGAAAATATGTTTACAACATGTAAAAGTTCATTGAAGGTATCAACAATAATCTAATCAATGTAGTGTACATAGATTATATTTTTTTACACAAACAAACCTCCATGTTTACTTAATTGTTTCTCTGTTTTTTGCCTAAATTGTAAACATATTTTTATGTTATATTAATTTTATATGTATTTCAATAATATTATTATAAGCACAAATTAAAATAACTCATACAATAGTAAAAATAATTCTAAGTCATAGACAATCTATAAATATATGAATAAATTTTTGTTTAGTGAAGGCTGGTGGCATGAGAATCACACAACACAAAACGCCCCACACTAAAGAAACTGGAAAGGAACCGGCTAATGAAGACCTTACCGGTCTCTCTGGTCCTTCACCGGTTCCTTCCAATCCAGTTTCCATTTCTGGAGCTCCAAATAGAGGTAATGCTGACTTCACTCCAGAAGCGGCCCAAGTGGCCCATAGTCCTAAGCCTCCAGCACACATTAATATTAAGCCAAGCCCAAACATCCATCAGCCCAGGAAGTAGATACCCGAGGAAGCTATAAGAAAGGCATATCACCATCATCAAACAGTTTGTATTGAGTGCGAACCTTCTTTTATTCTCATGATTTTTACTGTACCAGTATACAGCATGTCTAGTATTTTTTCATACATAATTTTTTATATAATGTTTTTACTTGTCTTTGGATTTTTGAAAACTTTTCCAACAATATGAAGAAAAATAAAAGCCATTGACCTGTATTTATGACACCCGTGTAAAATGTAACAGTCAATTCTCTACGTACAACTGTACAAATATTAAATACTGAAAAACATTTACAGATTGAAAATAAGTTTTGTTATAATTATTGTTTCTGAATATTACTGTATGATCCATTCTGAAGAATAATTTATAAAGAAAGTGATATAGAATAGTAAAGGTAAGCTAGCAATAGAGAAGCATAGTCAATTGACTACATCATACTATCCTACTTACTCTTAATTATTATTTTTTAAGAATAAAATTATTTTGTATTTTGTTTCATTCTTGAATTAAAAAGTATTTGAACCAATACCGTCCTTTTCAGACAAATAATGGACGCATTCTCTCATAGAGCACTCTGTATGAATTGTTTTTGCCTGATTAGCCTAGTGATTAGATTGATATATGTATGATGTATCATAAATAAGTCCAGAATTTATTTATTAAATTTTCATGCAATGCATGATTACCATCTGTCTATCAATCTAATCAGTATAAGGCTTAAATATAATCTGATAGCTTGTTTATGGTAAAGTATTTCTTTTTTTCTTATTGTGACATTTGCCCCAATATTGGAGCATCATAAAGAATATTCACATCAGACAAGATTGATAAAAAAAATATCCTTAAATAAAATTTTATTGATTGCTGGGAAATACATAGATGGTTGTCACTTTAAAAACATTTTATGAAGTTTTTTTTCTGTGTAATAAAGGTATTTTGACAACAACACTACGTGTACACGTATATATACTCAAAGCTCAGGTAATTAAGGTAATTATAATTATCATATAAGCTTAACAATAAAATCAAATAAGCTGTTTCCATTTCTATACAAGATTGAAAAAATTTTTAATTGTACCTAAATTGTTTTTACTATTCAATACTGCCGTGTATATGTTACATTGTCTTAATTTTGATTAATCTCTTTTATTATCCATTAAAAAAAAATACATAACCTTTAGCTGTACTGTCTCTAATAATTTTTTTTTTTCAAAGTAATAATATCTTGGATTATGATTATGAAAAAAAATGTATAAACACTGATATTTAAAATTCAAAATTGTTGATTAAATTAAATTTATTTTTAACAAAAGTATTGTTGTGTATGTAAATGAAAAATTTTAGATAAGTGACATATTATTACTTTATTATTATTATTATTGGAAAAATTAATAGCAATAATGTTTCTTTTTTTTATATATTTTATCAATTTTCGTATTTAAAAGTGCATTTTTTAATATTTGTTTACTTTAAATTTATTTGGTGCTAAATACTAATTGTTTTCAGAATATGATTGCATTTCTTTCACATTCCCATATTAATTGATGCATTTTGTACTATTTTTACTTCTGTAAAGATAAATAAATAAAGTTTTGTATATTTTCTTTAATTGACATGGTCGTGACATTATTGGGACCATATTATGACCTTTCTTTTTTTAGTTCGTAAATAAATATTAAATGTAAAAAGTATTTTTATTTATATCCCCTTAATATATGTTCCTTAGATGTCTTCAGAGATCCTAGAATAGATATAGAACCTAATAACAACGTCAAACTGTACATTTTTGCATGACCCATAGACTGTTCTGTCCCATAGATATAATTGTCTGTGTAACTTACCGATGATATTGTATAATCTTACTAATACAATAAATTTATAACTAGAGGATGTTCCTACAAGGGAGATATATAAGAAAAATGTATATTAGAGGTCTTAATAAGGTGATAAAACAATATTTTTTAGAAACTTTGTCTCTGCACCAAACTGAATGAGGTTTTCACAATTATGTTAGGTTCAGTAGTGGACAGTTAAAGGCTGACCCAGTGATTTGGTAAACTACTAGCTTTTAACCGCGACTTTGTTCGCGTGACCGGGATAAACAGTAGTCTATATCCTCGTCCATCGCATATAGCACGTGTTTACCAAATTTCATAGGGTTTGGTTAAATCGATAACGCGCTATACGTTAGCAAACAAATTCACTTTCACATTTATTAGGAGAAGGAGTAAGGATATGTATAGGTACGTGGAGAAAGGCTGAACACAAAATGCATTTATCAAACAATAATAAAAATATATTGAATAATTTAAATAAGTACAAATCTCGATTAGAAATAAATATAAAAATGATTTAGAATTTTTTGAAATATTCCTCACTATTATCAAACTATGTTCAATAATTATTTTTTAGTCATATTTTATCCCTTCTCCAAAGATGACTTCTTGTTCTTCGTGAGCATTGTATTGTAAATCTAGAACATGCAATACAACAAATCGTGTGTAACTGAACAACATTGAAAACACTAACTTCCACAGTCTTCATGCATTGCTATTCCTGTGCAATTTTACTAAAGATCGATATCTCCAAAGCCCATTATTTTTCGAGTTTGTATTTTTAATATGAAACCTAATTATGCCAAATAAAATGGGCACCATAATAATCGACATTTTATTATTTATATTAAACTTTATAATTTTTTTTTTCATTATTTTAACAAAATTATTGGTTGTGGTAAGTTTACATGTATTTAAATGCATTAAAGTAATTGTAAATAATGTTAAGGTTCTTATCCATTTAGAAAAAAATAGAATCTCGATATTTTTAGTGTGAAATATCAATTCAATGGTATGTATCGAATAAAAAACTAGATTTCTTTAAATGCAAAAATCGAATCTTCGATTAATCGATCTAAGATCACTTTGCCTAGTACAGTCTCCGTATATTCAGTAGCTAGTTTAATTATTATTCGCTAGTGTAATATTGTTGTATTCTATTGGTAAAAGTTTTGTTTGTAATCTGTTGATGTACCACAGAAATAAATAAATAAATATGCGATCCTACCTCTTGTTCGGAGCGTTGGTTCCGCACAGATGGTTCTGGTGACAATTCACCCATTTTTACTTCTCCTGAAACATTATTTTAAAATGTACATTAAATATCAATATAATTATACTAAAACTTTCGAATATTTTCGAACTTTTTTTTACAACCACTCTTTGGAATCAACTTTCACCAGCAGTATTTCCGAACCGATACGACATCATAGATAAATTTCAAAATAAGAGCATATTCCTTTTTAAAAGGCCAGCAGCACACTTGCAATGCCGTTGGTGTTGTGAGTGATCATAGGCAGCGGTAGTCGCATGCTCGTTTACTTATGTTAAAAAAATGTAGCTTTTTGTTAAATGAAGTCCCGGATTGATTCTAGGTCAAACCATATTATGAATTGGACTTTTCTAAATAGGCTCTAATGTTCTAGGTAGTACATACCTAGAGATGCTTTTGCAAAATCTCTTATTATATACGCGGTATTCTAAACTGTTGTAAAGAAAAAATATCGAACTAATATAATATCTTAAGCAAGGAATGTTGATACAAAACGATATAGACCATAGGGAAATATTGGTTTAATTCGACTAAAAATAACGATACATTGGTATTATTACAGACAATAGTAGTTAGAAAGGGAACATCACAAACTAAAGTCAATAATAGAAAAACAAACCAGTATTTGTAAAAAATTTCATTATCAATAATATATTGCATCGTTCTTTGAAATGTTGATACGCCATTTGTAACTCCAAAAGGTATACGTGTAAATTGATATAGACACACATCTTATATATATACACATCTTTAGAGCGTGCAAAGGGAGACGTGAGCTGTCTATGTCATAAACTTGTAAAAGTCAAACATTACCAAGCCATCTTTGTGACAAACTTGTAAAGATCAAATATTAGCAAGCTATATATGTGACAAACTTGCAATGGTCAAACGTTAGCATTTATAGGTAATGGAATTCAAACTAGTGCGCGGATTGGTCAAGAATTTTTATATATAAAGAGGCATAATTATTATAAATAAGAAACTTTGATTTGAAAGAAACTAAGAGAGATCTCATACCTTTACTCTTTGACGGTTCTAGTTTTCCAGACTGCAAATAATAATTTAATTGTTACATACATTATTTGATCAGAGAGAAATATTGTACAATAGTTGTCTGCATGCATACAATACGAGTGTATCGGGGGGAAAGGGTTTGTTAATAAAGGAGACTAAGAATCCCATTACTAGCAATATACCTAACCAGGTCGACCTCCTTGCGGTTCTCCCTGGAAACTATCATGGTTAATTCCTGATGTATTCATCATGACGGGCTCACTGACCTGTTTTTATTCTCATCTATCACCCTTCACTGGTGCTCCGCCAGCGTATCCCGTTAGCGCAGGCGGGGTAACCGTACCATTTTCACCCATCAAAAAAAATACGAGTGTATCAGATTGTGTCACTCATATTTCTGCCGTGAAACAACTGTTCTTGCTTGCTATTCTATAATGTTCATAAACACAAGGCCAGCCATAGCATACTTCGCTCATAACGTGAAAAACCCGACAGATCCCTTGGCTGACGACAAAAAAGTCATTCAGGTTCACATAAAACTCGAATTGGATGCGATCCTTTATTAATCCTATAATGTTTTTTTGTTACTTCACGGCGCCCCTTTTAGACCTCGGTTTCGGTAGATACTGCATGAGCAGTACGTTTGGGGGCACGTCGATAGCACAGTAGTGATTATCATTCCATTCTCAGCCACTATAAAAATATTGTAAAAATAAATATTATAATTATAATAATATAAAAATACTATAAAGGAATGGCAAGTCCACCATTCCATGTTTTCTCCCACGAACACTCAGGTTGTGGAATGAGGTCCCTGCCGAGGTTTTCCTAAGACACTACAGCATGGGGTTCTTCAAAGACGGGGTAAAGAGGTTTCTTCAGGGTCGGCAAACGCGTAATACCTCTGGTATTGCAAGCGTTCATAGGCTATGGTAACCGCTTACCATCAGGTGGGCCATATGCTTGTTTGCCACCTCAGTGGTATAAAAAAAAATTAAAAACAGGTTTCGACATAGAATAGGCCGCTTCTTCCTTTCCCGTGAGTGTTGTAGAGGCGACTAAGTAAACTTGATTGTAGAGGAATAGGCAGCGGCGTCCCTCTTAAAACATCAGAAAGAGCCTAACTGCGGTTACCAATCCGCCTGCCAAGCGTGGCAACTACTGGCAACCCCCCCCCTTACGAAGGGGGCCTATGTTCAGCAATGGACAGTTAATGGCTGATATGGTATGGTATAAGTGACGTACGGCTATTACTTTCCATCAGGTGGTTCATTAATCTGTTAGTCATTTCAAGTTGCGTGAATGTTTCTACTTACCATTTCGTTCAACAAACTCGGTATGTAAAATTTTGAATTCAGCTCTTTTTCGCTTTGCGCCGTTGCTATGTTTGGTGTTGCTGTGTAAAAAAATAATATTAACAATAATATTTATGACAAATTATCAGCTATGTCATATATTAAAAAATATATATTAAGGTTTTTTTTTACCTATGACAAAGGGAAAAATCGCAGTTCCCTACAATTGAATAGTATACTGTTGGATTTAAAACTACATAAACTTGAAAGGCAAGGTTTCTTTAGGATCAGTAACGGGCACGTGACACCTCTAGTGTTGCAGGCGTCCATAGCCTACAGTAACTGTCTACCATCAGACGGGCTGTATGCGTGTTTGCCACCTTAGTGGTACAAAAAAAAAGGCAGTAGAAAATAAAACAGACACTTGTAAACGTATTTTATACCTTAATTAAAATGTTTACATAATTATGCACTAGTTGATAACCGCGACTATGCGTGGCATTTCTAATGACGTTAAATCAAGTCCAACCTTGAGTCACAGACTATCTCGGGATAATTTATTGTACCAGTAGATACCGGTCACGTTATTAAACAACATAAGTTTACAAGATGGAAACTGTCGTGGTTAATTCCTAGTAAATTTTCCACGATGGGCCAACTGACCTAGGGGTCTACCATGAAATGAAATTACGAATTTTCAAACTTAATTTCGTGTTTTTCTTCATATCGAAAACGGCCCAGTAAACGGAGGTTAACATTTCATTCGCCATAAATCCTAAGATTTATGATTTATATAATATTAAAATATTAATATTTTTAAACAGTATTATCATGTACCATAATTCGTTCGGCCGTAAAATTTCGAAAAACATTTCATGGTAGGCCCTTTAATTTTATCCACACTTGTCATCCTTAACTGATACCACGTATAATAACAGCACCATTTCTTTATCACCCACATAATTTTTTTTATGCGGTAAGATGTATGCCCAGTGATAGGACAGTAAATGACATGATACAAATATATTTGAAAATAGATAGATACTATTTATTGTTTCCTCCAAAAAATTACAATAGTAAACTTATTATAAATACAAACAATTACAAGAAAACATAACGCGGAGAAAACAATGGGCGGTCTTATCGCTAAGAGTGGTCTCTTCCAGGCAACTTTTGGATAGAGAAGAGTAACTATAAACAGTTTAACCGGAGCCACGAAACTCTGTTCTTTTTTTAAATACATATAGACATATAATACGTTACCCTGCGATTAGAAATCCTATATTATTAATAGATTGAAAACATCACAGGACTGAAAAAATGGCGTCGGAAAACAGTAGTTTAAAATTTACCGACTGATGGTATTCCATAGTAGTGGAAAATAAACACTCTCAGCCCATATAGTAAAGAAATGTGAGCTAGAGATCGAATTGTCAAAAATAATTTTTCAACCTATTAATAATAATGATGATTCACTAGATGGAGTGACGACCTCAAAAACATTGTAGGGAGAGAATGGGTGTAGGCGACTCAAAACTGTTCCTTATGGTAGTCTATGGGGTCGGTCTATGTTTTGAAAAGTACAGATAACGGTTGATATAACGATAATGATACTAACATATCTGTTTGCCCCATACGGACTCCCTATAGTTGACACGCCTTATCCCGCCTCGGCGCCGTTTGCTGCGCGTGCGCCGACTCGGACCACGGGACTCGCTTGATAACTTCCGCACAACTTTATGGTACAGGCAACGGGAGGACACATTGGATACCTAAGTAAAAAGAACTGTCAAGGAACATTGAAGTAAATGTATTTTTCAGCAAGTCCGATTTCTGTCTAATTTCCGTGATTTTTGTGATTTTAAGTCTTCAAAAAATTTTATGTCCTCTATTTAATAAAATGTTTCCGTATCATATGTATTTCTGAAACATTAACTTTTCTTAAGACTCAAAATTGAAAGAGTTCACCGAAGATGTCCATCTTAAAGGTTGCACTTATTGATTACCAATCTAATACAGGAGTGATATAGATTGGGGCATTCGAGGCATTCCCAAAGAGGGTTGACGTCAGGCAGTTGACCGGTTGTAGAATTATAAGTCAAATCTTTTTGTAGTATGGATAGAAAACATAATATGCCGACCCCAAATTAATTGGGATAAGGGTAGGAAGACGATGATGAAGTAAATTTACGCCAAATAAGTAAATAAGCAAGTAAATCAGCAAGTAAATAAATAAATATGACCTGGAATAGAGGTGGCTAGAAGAAAATGAATGAATTAGTTGCACTGACAAGTAGAAACTCTTAAATGATAAGTAAACATCATCCTAAGAAAAAATATCTCAATACACACACATTAATTTTTGTTTCTATCTTTTACTATTTTCCTAACACATTAGCAAGATATATTTTTATAATAAATTCTAAAATAACAGTATTCGATTTTGTTCCACAAAATAATTCAATATATTCGAAATCGATTCAGAATTGACGGAGTTATGAGGAAAATAATATAAAAAAAAATGCAACAGAATCGAGAACCTTCTTTTTGGAGTCGGTTGCAAAGTATTTAGTGGGCCTTCTGTTAACTTAATATAGGAACTCACAGCTTATATACCATAAATATAAGTACATTAACATATACCTAATTACGTACCAGTTCGCACTGCATGTCGTCCAGTTCATCTTCCATTATGTCCAGTTCATCCGTATCCTTTGCTGGTATGATCAACAGCTTGGTCTCCGGGCAACTGCTCGACACTATCAGTTGGGAGGGCTTTGGGAAGATCAACCGATGAGCTGTTCTAGCGTAGGTATTATATTTTATTATTATTATTATATCAGCCAGCTGATATCTGCTGCACATAGGCCTCCCTATTGGCGGGTTTTACCAGTAGTTGCCATACTTGGCAGGCTGGTTAACAACCGCAGTTACACTTTCAGATCCCTTGATTATTAAGTTCCCATAGTCGCCTCTCACGACACCCATGCCAAAGGAAAGGGTAGCCTTTGGTGGCGGTAGGTATTAATTTAAAGTGTGTTTCATGTATTATAAGTTTTTGTTTTGATACTTGAAATGGTAAACAAGGTGACCCATTTGATGGAAATTGGTAACCGTCGCCTATAGACATGAACAGTGCTATGGAATAAAGCCCATGGTACTTATTGGCGACCGGTCGATGCAAACTCTTTAGATTTTATTATTTACTTTTTTTATATATTGAATTTTAGAATGTTCTTAGTTTTTTTTTTTTTGATGGGTGAAAATGGTACGGTAACCCCGCCTGCGCTAACGGGATACGCTGGCGGAGCACCAGTGAAGGGTGATAGATGAGAATGAAAACAGGCCAGTCAGCCCATCATGATGAATTCATCAGGAATTAACCATGATAGTTTCTAAGGGGAACCGCGAGGAGGTCGACCTGGTTGGGTATATTGCTAGCAATAGGATTCTCAGTCTCCATTACTAACAATCTCTTTCCCCCCAAATGTTCTTAGTTGTAATTACAATTTTGTATTTTCTTGACAATATCTGTTACTTTCTTGCTTGGTTGCTATCAATACATTTTTCTCTGCTAAAATCCGTGTCTACATTATTTACCATCTCACCACAGTACACCACTTCGTAATAGTACCCTTCATTCTTTACCATTCCTGAGGACTACGAAGTTACATCATCGTACCCTTTAATTTCACTGCCATATCCGACCCTTCAAACTGAACACAGTCGCCTCTTACGACACCTACGGAGAGGAACGGATGGCTCAATCTATGGCAGATCACTCGGCAGCTACCTACCTAAAAATGAGCCTGTAAAGTTATTCGAGTGCAGGATTTTTGTATTAGAATTTAGGTTACCCAAATGTTGAAGCAACAATTTTCTTAATTCATGTTCTAGACTCAATGACGAGAAGTTGAACTAAGAAAAAATATTTATTAAGTAAAAAATAAATTCTGAAAAATAAAATACAATGAAATAATAAAATAAAAAAGAAACTTGATGAGACAATTTATCTATATATATAAATATTAATGCCAATTTTCGTTGTAATTTTATAACTTAAGAACGGGCTCACCTATCCAAACCAAATGTTTAGGCTTTGTTTGGACTATTTAGTAGATAGTTCATGTGAAGTTTGCACAAAATCGGTCGAGCGGTTCTTCATTTATCACATTTTTTGTAACAAATGAATTCAATAAATGGCGGATCATTTTGTTAATGGGGATTTTTGTGTCAAATTGAAACTTTTTTTAAGATAGGGATTGTGCTGTCAAATTGAAACTTATTTCAGTGTTGACAGTACAAGCATGTTGTTATGTCATTCATGCGGTCATTTCATTTTGGACGTGCTTCGATTGAAGCAAATTGTTAGCGATAATTATTGCTTTGTGTTTATATTTTTAAACATATTGTTAAGTGCATTCATACAAACATATATGTGTGTGTGTACTTATCTCAGTTTTTTAGCGATTTTTGTTTGAATAAATAAATTTGATGTTAATTTTTTTTTTATTATTTCACTTTATACGTAGCTAAGCACGTACTGGACCGCTAGTATCATATATATTATATTTATCTTGTGTTATTAGGTTTACAGGAAATATATGACATTGCTACAGGTAGATACTATCTATTGATGGTTTTTTTTTTTGTTAGATGAAAATGGATTGGTAACCCCGCCCGCGCTAACGGGATACGCTGGCGGAGCACCAGTGAAGGGTGATAGATGAGAATGAAAACAGGCCAGTTAGCCTATCATGATGAATTCATTATGAAGAATTAATCATATTAGTATCCAGGGGGAACCGCGTGGAGGTCGACCTGGATAGATACATTGCTAGCAATGGGATTTTTTGTCTCCAATACTAACAATCCTTTTCCCCCCACCCATTGATGGTTGTGTTCATGTACAAATGATGTTTGGTTACCTGGGTATATAACAGGGTGGCTGAAACACCTCTCTGGTGGCCATATCCTGACATATGCCATCTAACAATACTATATCTTCCATCAGTTCATTAACAACGAACACCTGAATGTGGTTCAGATAAGTTTTTTAGTATTACACAATTATAAAATACAGCTTTTAAAATATGTAAAGCGGTTGTATTCGCATGGCTGTGTTTCGGTTTGAAGGGTAGGATATGGCGTGAATTTACTGGGTACAGAGGAATAACACCTGAGTCCTCAGGAATGGCAACGCATGGAAGGTATCATGGGCGAAACAGTATACTCTGTTATGTCAATGGTACTGCTCATGTCTATAGGCGACAATTACCACTTTCCATCAGGTGGGCCATCAGCTTGTTTGCCATTATAAGTTGTATAAAAAAAATAATGTTATTATTGCCTTCGTTTAGGTTAACGCAGCGAAAGGGTCATTAGCAGTCACTTTATCTAAACCGGGCGTGAGATAACAGACAGACGAACAAAGTAATGTTTATTCCTCTCCCTATGTAACTTTTGGTATATTTTAAATTTTACCCAGAGACTACTACTACGATTACCGAGGTTCTTCAAAAAGTACGCACAAAAGTTTCTTCTAAATCTAGTGACACTTTTGGTGTTGCCTGTTTGCCGATATTATTCATAGATTGAGTATGAAAGGATTTCTAGAACAATCCTACCTTGAACGCCTTAAGACACGGCACGAAGGAATGCTCCAGCCTCATGCTTAGTTTCTCAGCCGACCATCCATGGTAAGCTGGCACAGTAGGTAGCACCATCATGGATAGCTTTATGCCTATCTCCCGCCACATTGCAGCTTCTAGGCTAAATAGGAATTGTATAAATTCACTATTAAAACTAGGAATAGGAAACGAATCTATCGATAGATATGTTTTCGCTACCACACGCATGATATGGAGGTAGCGACTTCTTTAAAATTAACCAGAACAACTCATTTACAGTGTGTATGCCCTTCATAATTACAAGGAAGCAATAAAAGTTATAACAAATCATACCTAACACTTATCTTGGAAAGGAAGGAATTTTGTGATAGGGATATGAGATCTCAACAGATACTAGTAAAAAAGAAAAATGCGGACTTACCCCATGATGGGATGGGGGGCGAGATTGAAAGCCTCTTTAATCACCGGCATGGTGATATGATACGCTTGCACCGCTGAGTCGCAGCGTACCGTGTAGCTGTAGGGGCGATTTGTTAACACCTGTTGGGTATATATCCAATATTCATATGACAAAAATACTACTCTATATTACTTTCAAATGTAATTTCATTACATTGAAAAAAAAATTGATACGAGACTAATATAAAAAGGATATATAGACACAATAAATAAAAATTGTGTTCCACAAAAAAAAAATACTATTTCAATTGTGACAAAACCAATTATTTTGATTTAAAAACTAAATTAATAATCCGATTTTGATAAAATTTCTATGGCATCAATCTATAAGTATATTCTATCAGATATAAAAAAAAAAGAATTTTCCAAATCGGTTTAGAACGGGAGGAAAGGGATTGTTAGTAATGGTGACTGAGAAACCCATTGCTAGCAGTATACCCAACCAGGGATTGTTCCCCCTGTATCATGGTTAATTCCTGATGAATTCATCATGATGGGCTGAGTTTTCATTCTCATCCCATTGCTCCGCCAGCGTAATGGATACCCAACCCATCAAAAAAAAAATCATAAACACAAAGCAATAATTATCGCTGACAATTTGCTTCGCGTACATTGATTCTCCTCAACACTGAAATAAGTTTCACATTGATTCACGTTTCAATTTGACACAAAAATCCCCATTAACAAAATGATCCGCCATTTATTGAATTCATAATAAAATATCAATGAAGAACCGCTGACCGTTTTGTGATCTCTATCTACTAAATAGTCCAAACAAAGTAAACATTTGGTTTGGATAGGTGAGGTTATAAAATTACAACGAAAATTGATTAATATTTATATATATAGATAAATTGTATCAAGTTTCTTTTTTTATTTTATTATTTCATTGTATTTTATTTTTCAGAATTTATTTTTTACTTAACAAATATTTTTTCTTAGTTCAACTTCTCGTCATTGAGTCTAGAACATGAATTAAGAAAATTGTTGCTTCAACATTTGTAACCAAATTCGTACAAAAATTTCAACGAATAACTTTACAGGCTCATTTTTAGTTGTATTTGCATTGAGCCATCCGTTCCTCTCCGTAGGTGTCGTAAGAGGCGACTGTGTTCAGTTTGAAGGGTCGGATATGGCAGGAAATTAAAGGGTGAATGATGTACTGGGTACTAAAGGAATAACACCTGAGTCCTCACGGAATGGCAACCAAGCAAGAAAGTAACAGATATTGTCAAGAAAATACAAAATTGTAATTACAACTAAGAACATTTGGGGGAAAGGGATTGTTAGTAATGGAGACTGAGAATCCATGGCCGAAACAGTTAATTCTTCATGTTATGTCCATCTATCACCCTTCACTGGGTACTGCTCATGTTTATCAAAAAAAAATCGGTTTAGAACTGACGGAGTTATGACTACATCCTTTTGACGACCTATTAAAATTGTTTTCTATAGGTATTACATCATTTCGTCAATATTTTTCTTCTTGTATTTCTTTATTATATCTATTTTCACGCTAAATCTCTCTCATAAATTGGCAGTGAATAGCCAGCGCCAAAGACCTTTATCCTTATATACATTTCTAGCTTCTTGTACTCTCATGGCTCGTCTCATAAATGCATATATCGTCATAGTCGTAGAATACTGACGGATCTGACAAAGATTACATATAAAGATCCGTCAGTATTCTACAGCTATGATGATATATCATTATTTTTTTGAAAAATTTATCAACAATACAACTTAATAAATAATAAATAGCACGAGATGCATCAATACGAGTATAAAAAATACAATAAAAAATTGAAAAACTCTACGAATAGAATTCTAAATGTTAACATTTGTAAAAATGTTTGAATGTTTGTTAAGCAATCACGTCTCAAGGGCGAACGAATTTGACTGAAATTTGGTAAAAAAATATACTAGCTTAAAAATTGTTCACGGACCACCTTTAATATATCATTGCTTTCCTTTCCCGTGGATGTCGTAAGAGGCGATTAAGAGAACTTACTCATCGAGGGATGAGCAGCAGCATCTCTCTTTAAACATCATCAAAGCCTAACTGCGGTTGCGAATCCGCCTACCAAGCGTGGAAACTATGGGGACTTCCATGGAAAATTTGGCATTGGCGAAACTCCCCTAGAGATCTATGCTCAGCAGTGGATGATAAATATAGTCATACCCCAAGAACGCCGACTGCGTTTCCCGATACGATGTAATCCTGGCTCGGTTCGCCGAACTTCAAGTCCGTTAGAAATTCATAGTTGGGTATAGCTTCTTCCACATCTCCGTCTGGAGGCGTGTATGTGGCCTCGAGAAGACCTGACACTAGGATGTATAAGCCCTTTGGTTCATCGCCTGGTAAATAAATTTTTCGTGCAATTTAGAATGGCATACAAGCTGACAGCTCACTTGATAGAGGGAAAAGGGATTGTTGGCTAGTCCAGTAATGTGATCTAATGGCCCCATCGTTAACAATATACCTTCCCTATCAGGTCAACATCTGCATGCTGAGAAGAAGGGTTTGCAATAAATAATAAAGTAATGCAGACTATCAGTCCCATTGCAAGCAATATACCCTGTCAAGTCAAATTCAACGTACCACCCTCCCCTGAAAACCATCGTGCTGAATGAATACATCTGGAGATGTATTCATCACCATTTTTTATTTCCACCTATCTTTCTTCAACTGGTGCCCCGCCAACGTATAATATTAGCGCAGGTGAGGTTACTATTCCTTTATCATCCATTAAATCCAAGAAACATCTCCACTCGCTTCCCCCTGGAAACCATCGTGGCTAATTGTTGATGGATTCATTAAGAGGAACAATCACTTGTTGTGAACATGTTTGGGAACTAAATGTATTTTTTTTATGTCAAGCAGACAAAGAAATTGATGCCGTTCATGGAAAAACATAGTGCAGTTGCTAAAGTAGCATATAATTTTTATTATTTTGAATTTCTAATAATTTGTTCAACTATCGGGGGGTGTTCAACTTTTGGTACCATCACTCTAATATGATAATCTTCTAAGCTACTAGCACTAAACGACATATCACTTATAGTTTAAGTACCTCTAGAAATGAGAATATCGTTATAATTATAATTAATGATATTGGAGTTCTCCAGGAAGTAATCAGCTACCCTCTCGTTCCCTTGCAGCCACGATACAGCACGAAGCTGGGTCTGTAATGAACTTAATGTCAAATAAAAAAAAATTGTCTTTCTGATAATACCACAGATAACATATTTCCTATGATCTCTCCCATAGAAAGAGAATACTAGAGAACTGCTGTATGCCTATGTATTACGAAATAACAATAGAATGATGTTATTGAGCAAACGAACAAATACGAAATATACCTCCTTATTCGCAACGTATAATAGTCATATAGCTATTTAATTTGAAGGGGTAATGCAGACATAATGCTAAGTACAGAAAAACTATTTTTCTAAATCCATGATAAAAATTTATATGTCTAACTTTGTATATAATTTGTAATATTAAACTTTATTTACTTGGGAAATTCACGTGTGAAATGAGCCGTGTAGATCCCAGCACAGAATAGGCCACCCCTTCCTTTCATGTGGATGTCGTAAGAGCCGACTAAAGAAGCTTATAACAAAGGGATGAACAGCAGCGTCCCTCTTAAAATATCATCAGAAGGGAAATTACGTTTACCAACGCGCCTGCCAAACGTGGCAACTACTGGCAAAACTCTTCTTTATGACAGAGGTCTATGTTCAAAAGTGAACAATTAACGGCTGATATGATGGTGATGATTAATATAATCTGGTGTATAATAAATGCAAAAATGTCACCTCTGGTGATGAGGGCGCCACCAGGCTTCCCTTGTGGCGACACATTTGCACCTTCTCCTGAATCGCGTTCACCAAAAGCCGATATTCCATTTCATCCAAAAAGCCTGCAATGTCCATGTCACGTAAGCGAAGTACACATTACATGAGATAGAAGGGATACCTAATTGTTGTAATTAGGAAATGACCGAGAGTATATTACCAGTAATGGAGTCTAACAACTCCATTGCTGGCAATATACCCCATTCGATCGACCTCAACCGAGGTTTCCCCTAGAAACCATCATGGTAAATTTTTATAGAATATGTCACGCTGGGCCAACTGAACTACTTTCAACGTCACCTATAATCCCATACTGGTGCCCCGCCAGTGTAAACCGTCAACCGTCAATTTCACCAGAGGGAGACTTTGTACAAAATTCGATTGCTTGGGTACCTCTGTTCCATTGTGTTTCAACCGTAAAGCAGTTGTGTTTGTATGGCTATGTTTCGGTTTGAAGAGTGGGATATGGTGTGAATTTACTGGGTACGGAGGAATAACAGTATATAATAACAACAAAAGCAGTAAAAAAAAACCGATAACGCATATAGAATCATTCTCCATTATCCTCCATTAAAAAAATTTACAGGAAATGATCCCATTGCATTCCACAGCAATATACCATATCAGGTTCAACTCCATACGGTCTCTCGTTAAAACCATCATGACATATTTCAAGTGAATTCATCATGATAGGACAACTGACCACACTTTATCCTCATCTATCATCAATCACTGGCACACTTCATCAGCACAGCGCGACGATTTCAATGACACCCAGTATTCATCGTCAGTTCCGTGTGGTCCCGGCGTAGAATAGGCCACCCCTTCCTTTCCCGTGGGTGTCGTAAGAGGCGGCTAAGTTAGTAGCGCCCTAAAACATCTCCAAAGCCTAACTGCGGTTGCCAAACTGCCTGCGAAGCTTAGTACATACTGGCAAAACCTCCAAAATTTGTCAGTAACAGGGTCTAAGAGCCCTATTGTTAGTAATGTATCCTATTTTTTTTGTAGATTGAAAATGGATTGGTAACCCCGCCTGCGCTAACGGAATACGCTGGCAGTGCTTCAGTGAAGGGTGATCGATGAGAATGAAAACGGGCCAGTTAGCCCATCATGATGAATTCATCAGGAATTAACCATGATAGTTTCCAGGGGGCACCGCGTGGAGGTCGACCTGGTTCGGTATATTGCTAGCAATAGGATTTTTAGTCTCCATTACTAACAATCCCTTTCCCCCCTAATGTATCCTATTAGGTCCTCCTGGAGATCATCGTGGTCAATTCTAATCGAATTCATTACGATGAGCCAGCTGACCTGATCTGCTGTCGTCCTCACGATCACGTGATCTATCATCTCTCACGGATGAGTGGCTGACTGGAAGAGAATGCATTAATTAGTTGCACCGCCAAGAGGAACCGAGGGATGGGTAGCAGCGTCCCTTTTAAAATATCTCTATAGCCCGACTGCGGTTGCCAATCCGCCTGCCAAGCGTGGCAACTACTGGCAAAACCCCCAGAGGGGGAGGCTTATGTTCAGCAGTGGACGATTAAGGGCTAATAATGATGATGATGATGATTCAGTAAAGTGACATAGTAACCTTCTTCCTTAAGTTGCATTGTGTCCAATATCATGATATTCAAAGTCGAAGTGGTGGCTTGCCTGGTCTTCACCGTAATAGCTGTCCATGGCCGATCCCGCTGCAAGAGACCCAGCTGTCTTGTGACTGCCAATCTATGGTAAACAATATATTGGTCTACTAGCTGAATCCCGTGGGTTTGTCCGCCTAGACTGTCATATAAAATACCCTCTTAAAAATAATCATGAAATAAATATCAAAATTTCATACTTATAACATTAGAAGAATTTCAGCTATATATGTATATCAGATTTTAAATTAGTCCTTTAGAATCACTGTGAAAACCGCATCCAATTTACGTGATGCCGGAACAAATATTATATACAGACAAACAGAAAAAAAAATTACATTACATTCCCAATATAAAAGAAAATGACAAAATAGTAAAAGTAGATTTATAGAAGATTTTAGTTTTTATGAATAATGAGGTAAGATTATTTAATATAGGATCAACAAAGTAATCTATACTTATAATAAATCTGTAGAGAGGTCAATTCTGTACATGAAATCTATTTCCAAAATAACTATCAGCGGGTGATTAGTGATCGATACTGATGCCAAAAATGCAGTAAAATTTTTGTCTGTCTGTTTGTATGTTCGTTATAGAAACAAAAACTACTTGACGGATTTTAACGAAACTTGGTACGATTATTGTTCATACTCCTGGGCAGGTTATAGTGTACTTTTCATCGCGCTACGATCAATAGGAGCAAAGCAGTAAAGGGATATGTTGGGATTTTTTTTTAAAGTGGCTATTAAGGTCGCGTGTGCAGCCTTAATAGCCACTTTTTAAAATGTAAAAATGTCCACCCGTACGAAGCCGGGACGGGCCGCTAGTAAAGAATAAATCCTTTCATTTCGGATTTCAGAATTAGCAATATTGCGTAATACACACGCACACTAACAGGCACACGCACACGCACACACCCACACACACGCCTTTTTGACGTGAGATGTTATGAGCATTTGTTTTTCAAATAAACTTACCTGTCTGCTTCCAATTTAGCATTCAAGGTTTCCTGTATTTGTATGTTATCCACCAATTGAGGCAGCAAATTACATACTTCTTGTTCACCGGTCACGAAACCCTAAATAATAAATACAGTGAAAAATAACTTCAGCGGTGTACGTAATAAGAACGATTATAATTTAATACTGACCTTTCCAACGTCGTAACCGTAGGCCAATTGTATGTCAATCATTCGATCAATGTATGCCATAATTTTAGGCACAGACACCCTGAAAACATAAACAGGCCGTCTCTGTTTACTGATGGACTATGATTATCAAAAATATAATTCACCGCTTTGTGACTTCTTAATGGGGGAGGGGGGGGGGGGGTATGTTAATAATGGAATGTAGCAGTTGTATTGTTGAAAATATATCCTATTATATCCCCAGGGGGAATCCCGTAGAATTCATCACGACGGGCTAATGGTCAACGGGCTAATAAATCACCTAATTTCATCCTCACCCATTATCCCTCACTCGTGCCCCGCCAGCGTAAACCGATACCGGGGTTATCATTCCATTTTCACCCATAAAAAAAATTTAATACATAAATCGACTATGTATTATCATTTAAAATTTTTTTTTTTTTTTATGAATAATGTATGTCTGAAGTAGGAAAAAGAATAAAATAAACTATTTCTAGATGGCATATCAAAATAAAACGTATATTAGTTTTTAAGTTAAATATTTAGATATACAGCTATAAATATATTTTTTATTTATTTATATTTTTTAACCTTATATTTTTTATATTTTTCATGTCATCGCCTAATTACAATTTAATTATATTAATAAAATGACATTTCGAAATAGGTCACGTGTATAAATAATAAAAATATTTTAATACAGACAGTGACAAAGTACAATCTTTATATCTTTATTTTTTTTTGTAATTATAAAGGCTTTTAACTTCTTCAGATATATCAACCCTATTGTAACCTGAATCTTATTAAAATGATTAAATTGTTTATTAAATTATTTTACTGATCTAGACTGTTAGTTTGTGGAAGTCCATATCGTTGGAAAAAAAATCTAACTAGATAATGTCTGATATATGAGAGACATATGTATATTAAAAATTGATATAAGTTGTCTTGTCTTGTCTTAAGTGCAAGTAATAGAAACCAAAACAATAATTTATTGAGATTTTGCCTGTCTCTATTCTAGATTGAATTTTTGCTAGTCTCTGTGCCATATGTTTGTTGTTTGTTCGACATCATACAAGCACGACTCCACCAAATTGGATGTGAAGTACTGGACAGAAAACTAGTTTGGAAATAAAACAGATACCTTGCTAACTTGCACAGCCTGAGGAAGCGCAACATCCTCAGCAGCTTGGTGGCGGTGAGCACGCTGGAGTTGAGGTTCGTCCACTTGTCCCACGGGGTCAGTGCATCTATCACGTCCAGCACCAGATCTAGCAGTGGTATGAAATATATATAAATATAAAAAGTAAAAGAATATAATAATAAGTATAATGAAGTATAATATTATAATATTTAATTCAGGGCTGATCCCTTAACCGTCCACTGCAGAATATAAACCGCTACCTTGGGGGGTTTTGCCAGTAGTTGGCACGCTTGGCAAGCGGATTGCCAACTACAGTTAGGCTTTAGAGATGTTTTAAGAGGGACGCTGCAGCCCATCATTCACCGTCCCTTAGTTGTCTTTTACAACACCCACGGGAAAGGAAGTGAAGGTCTATTCTATGTCGGGACTACGCAGCCAAATAAATTTATAATACATAATATTCAATATTTTTATCTCTAATATATAAAATTCTCGTGTCGCGGTGTTTGTTACCAAACTCCTCCGAAACGGCTTTACTAATTTTTATGAAATTTTGTGTGCATATCGAATAGGTACGAGAATGGGCCAACATCAACATTTTTATACCCCTCAATGATAAGGATAACTCACCCCTAAATATTTTTTTAACAAAATTTTTTATATTATTATGATTCAGCATAGAAAAATACATACAACTTCAAATTTTCATCCTTTTACGATCAACCCCTGTTTTTAATAGCGATTTTTATATTCTGTAATAGTACTAATAATTGTAGTACGATAAATTTTCATGTATAGTTCTAGAAATAAAGTATATGGTAAAACAACGTTTACCGAGTCAGCTAGTAATACATAAAATTGCAAAGAAGCTAACGGCCTACCTGATGGAAAGTAGTAACCGTCTTCTACATAATATTATTTTGTAATTTTTTTATACAACTTAAAATGGCAATCAAGCTGATGGCCCACCGGATGAAAATTGGTAACCGTCACCTATAGACATTAACAGTACCATGGATATAGCAGAGTATACTGTTTCGCCCATGATACCTCCCATGCGTTGCCATTCCTGAGGACTGATGTTATGCCTTTGTACCCTGTAAATTCACTGCCATATCCCAGTCTTCAAACCGAAGCACAGCCATGCAAACAACTGCTTTACGTTAGAAACATAAATGGAATAGAGGTACCCAAGCAAACTTTTATACAGTCTCCCTCTGGTATATTTAATGGTGTATCGTTACTTTAAAGCACATACTAGGCTATATAAAACATAGAAACGAAATAGAAAAGTAAGAATAAAGTGGCATAATGTAAAAACATAGCATAGCATATTATATTCTGTGTCCTTGGCTATCATTTTCCATAGAATAGGCTGAAGTTTTATTTAGAAAAAATAATTTACCGCCAGTAGCCATAACGATAATGAAAAAGTCCAGCTTATTCCAATGTGACTTGAAATATCCACGGATACTGTACGCCAACATCTTTAATATCATCTCTATCACGTAGATTATGTAAAAGAATCTGTAGTACAAATATATTAAAGTTATTAATTAGTTGTAAGAATAAATTCCGACAACCAAATCCGATGTGATTCGGAAACATGTGTGTTTGGTATTCGAACTGTGTTCCCAGTTACATCATGAAAGGAATGCTCATAAAGTCCTTACCTATCATCTCTCACTAGTGGTTAATATACGTTATATTGATAACGCGGACAAAGACACAATTCTATTTTCATTACATAAAAAAAAGACATATAAATAAGGCGCTGTACACATTGACTGCGCTCCACTACGATTCCTTGCGCTCTGTTTCTGCAGTGAAAACCGCAGCAGTGCACAGTTAGTGTGAATTCTAGTTTATTTTTTTATCAATACTAACATGGTCGTAGCTAGGGGAGGGGGGCATTGAAGGGCAATGCCCTACTTTGAAAGGTCCAATGTCCTACCTTAAAATGAAAAGCTCCAAGAAAATTAGAAAGAATCGCTTTTTCGAAGTCACATCATTATGGCTTTTGCCCAAACAAAAAGTGTTTTACCCTACCTTAAACTTGGGTCTAGCTACGGCCCTGTATACTAATAATAGATTTATTGAGAAAAAAAATTATTAAAAACAATAAAGAATAGAAGAGGCAAAATACTAAGCCACCTTATACAACATGACAATTTTTTAAAGAACATACTAGAAGGAAAAATGGAGGGCAAAAGGAAAAGGGGAAGACCGAGAAATAGCTACACGGGACAGATAAAGAAATCACTAGGTGCCATGTCGTATAGGGAGGTTAAAGATATAGCCTGGAATAGAGCTGGTTGAAAAAAATGTATCTATTAGTTGCACTAACAAAGGAAACTCCTAAATAAAAATAGTCTAATAATTATAAAGTAGAGAAATTTGTTTGTTTGAACGCACTCCAGAGATTCTGAAACTATTAGTCGGATTTGAAAAATTCTTAATGCAATAGCTAATTTTTAAAGAAGATTATAGGCTATTCAATATCACGATATGACGGTAGAATTATAAAAAGCACTTACAAATTGAGCGACTTGATGGTATAAGTAACAGTGAGAGAGACGGGTGGTCTCAGCGCCACTTCGCACAATATGACAGGCGTATTACAAAGTATCATCAGGTATATGAACCCGTCGAACCACACGTTGGTGACCAGACGGTAGCACTGCTGCCGCCAAGCGTTCTGTGGCACTTGGGCATTAGCGGCTTCAGGTGTCATCATGTTCACCAACTTGTGTCGAAGCCAGACTGCGTGAGCCTTGACGTTTTATGGAAATAAGCAATAATATCCTCGTGTGAATATAGCTGTATGTTCCCGGTATAGAATGGGCCACACCTTCTTTTCTCGTGGGTATCGTAAAGGAAATTTATTGGTGGAGAGATGGCCGCAGCGTCCTACTTAAAACATCATGAAAGCCTAACTACGTTCTACTCAAATACACCTTTAGTTTTTAAGTAGCAAAAATAGTGAATTGGTATGTAGAAAGTTTTATGTTTCTAAATCATATTAGTGTAGGTGAATAAAAGGAAATTAAAAACTTTTTAAAGAGTTTGAAATGGCAAATAAACGGCTCATAACTGTTAACGGAAAAGCAACAGTTCATAAACATTAACAGCAGTATAGATTATAGAATAGAATGTGACGTGCATTCTGACTGATCATCATGCACTGTCTATTCTGAGGATTAAAATGTTATAATTCTATATCTGAAATTTTTAGTTATATATTCCATTCTTCAAGCCGAAACTCAGCCATATAAACATAGCTGGTTTGCAACAAAAACATAAGTGGAACAGAAGTTATGGTTAATGGTAGAAACATGAATGGAATTAAAGTTGAATGGTTGGAAGGTTAGAGAAACAATTCAAACTGATTTTAAAAGTATAATATACAAAACTATGTGTTACATACGTACTTTTGGTTTCCATAGAGTGCCAAGCTGATCTAAATTGATCCGCCCGTCATTTGAGTCCGCGGCTACTTCCACCGCTTGTACCAATGTTCTGACTCCGTCTTTGCTGATCTTCCCGTGTTCATACTGTCTCCAGTAAGATATCTTCATAGCTTTTAGTACACGTTGGTTCGCTTCCCTGAATTAAAATGTATATAGATCTGCTATAATTAATTTATATTTAAATATTGATTGATTTCAAATGATTTACTACTGGGAAAACTACTATCAAAAATCTTGCAATCTTGTTCCTACGTGGTCCAACCGTAAATAGACATTCTTATCCCTGCATTTCGATAAAAAAAAAACACTTCTTAACAAGGCTCTTTCATACCCATATCAATTTAGCTACCTTTTTTTTACAACACATGGTGCAAACGAGCATGCGGCTCACCTGATGGTAAGTAACTACCGCCGCCCGGTATTGGATTAAATAATATTTCACATAGTGTAATATAATGAGCACTGCTCTGTACACTTCTATATTTTTTTTTTTATATTTAGGCTTGTTGCAAACTAGCAGTAATTAAAGCCAAATAACCGCTCACCCCATGTTATTCTTCTTCGGCTTATATTGGGTCTCCTAAAATACTCATGATAACAAAATAATACCAACTACAAAAACGACTTATCTTAGTTTATTTACTACTACTTCTTGCCTTAGAATGCGAAACCACGTGTGATCAATAAATTAACTTACTGACAAAATCTGTGCTAACCTCATCATTTCGGCGAATTCCTTCTTCGTGGGTTCATTGGGTATCTCCCTCTCGCAGTCAGGGCAAGTGGTATATCTATAACCCATGTAGGTGTCGTCCTCGCTATCCTCGTCGCGGCCAGATATCTGAAGCTGGTACGGATGCTTAACAGTTGTACCTTTTAAAATGTTCAGTAAATACTATTGAATTTAGAGTTAGGTACATTAGAATCACTAACACCGGATGAATGAAATGTTAAAACAAGAATGGATATCAATGCATTACGGTGTCATCATCTTCCTACTCTTATTCTAATCATTTGGGGTCGGCGTATTATGATTTTATCCATATTACAAAAAGATTTGGTTTTTAGTTTTACGACCGGGCACCTGCCTGACGTCAACCCTCTTTGGGAATTACGGTGCAATGCATTACGGTGTATTCTATGATATTCATGTTGCTTTTTATGTGTATAGTCAACTGTTACCAGTGTCCATCAGGTGGCCCGTCAGTTTATTTTTATTTCGTTGTTCCAAGTTATACAAAATAGCATTTTAATACGAATGCATCATTTGCAGCTTTTACAATATAAGATCAACCAGTAACTAAAAGGTACTGTCTCACTCTGACATCATCATCGTAGCCTCCCCCCTTAGAATGGTTTTGCCAGAAGTTACCACGCTTGGCAGACAGGTTAGTATCTGTAGTTAGGCTTCGATGATATTATATATTAGACATTAAATTCAGAAAAGTTCATTTCATAAATTGGTCATACCATTAACTTTTTTTGTCAGCCGTTAACTATCCACTGCTGAACATAAGCCTTCCCCATAAGGGAAGTTTTATTTATTTATTTAACTGTAATGAGAAATGATACAAAAGGCGGCCTTATCGCTAAGCAATCTCTTCCAGACAACCTTTGGGTAGAGGACATTGAGAAAAGAAAGAAAACCAAAGTTTTGCCAGTAGTTTCTAAGTTTGATAAGCAGATTGACCACCGCAGTTAGGCTTTTAGAGATGTTTTAAGAGGGACACTGCTGCACATTCCTCTACCACTAGTTCTCTTAGTCGTCTCTTACGACACCCACGGGAAAAGAAAGGATGGCGTATTTTATGCCAGGACCATGAGGCCATTAATTGCCTTTGCATAAATGAGGTTCCAGTTCGATTCTCGGTCAATTGGCTCAATGTGCCAACCACTGTGCCACGGAGACAATCCAAGATATAGAAATAGATAAACCTTTCCGTGCGATTTCTAAATTCTTGACGAATGACATAAAGTGTTTAATATGTAACAAAAATATAGCTTACCTTCCTGGACAAGATCCCAGTTAGCATCAGCTAAAAACTTGTCCATCTTCAACATGGATATACACCTGTCTCTGGTCATCATGATGCGCTTTACACAATTAGTCATATTGGCTTTCTTGGCTAGAGAAATCTCCGCCAATCCCAACATCTTGAGGACTTTGTGCATCGTAGTGGCATTTATAAGAAGAGACAAGAGTACTATGCCGGCAGTTTGGATTATGAAAATCTAAATCCGAAAAAATATAAATAAATCTATCACTAGATTTATCACACAGCACCTTCAAGTTTCAGAGTTTATTATTGTAAGTATATAGGAAAACCCGTTTTAAAACAAACACACATAACTACTCGTTAATATGTCTGTGTTGCATTGTAACTAAACCACCAGCTAACAGCAGAAGCCCACCATATTGGCACCTGGTGAGCAGTTTTATTGCTATAGGTTATCATCATCGTTATATCAGCCATTATCCGTCCACAGCTGAACATACGCCTCCCCCATAGACTGCCATAAGGAACGATCCTAAACTACTTGCTTCCAATTACTCCCTGCAATGCCAGTATTATATAGCATTTGTATACTTATTTATACATACAGACTTGCGTCTACGAAAATATTAGGTGCTTATAGGTACAAGCGATAGTTTCTATAAAATATCTAAAGCTCTCGATTTACGGTTTAAGACATTTATTTCTCTAAAGATTTACATAAATCACTTAAATGAGAAATTTAAAACTATGAGCATGCACTTATTATCTACTGTTAGCGAGCGTAATTTATCAAACATCAACTAAAAATAAAACATAATGTGAAACTACCTTTATTTTATAAAAATTATACAACACAATGCGACTCAATACAACAAGTTGTTTATAATGTAAGGGCAATATCTACAATCTTCGGTTAAAGTTAGTTTAGATTTATTTAATTCTAAGATAGATATCGTAAGACGTGCGCTAAGTCAGTGGTTTTTTATGGTTCATCTTTGAGCGTGTGATTCCAATTTTTTATTTGCATAACTGCCTACCATGATGTGTATACTACTATAATATTGTTAGTCTAAGTTTAATTTAGTTAATTGTATTAGCGATGTCATGTGTATTAGTTAAATCTTGTTTTTATTTGTGAAAACTTGTAATTGGCTTTAATGTTTCTTTTTGTTTAATATAAAATTTTCTAGCTATTGGTTTTTCTTCAATAAAAGAATAAATAAATATACAAATGTTGAGTAGGTACTTACGTTTATGCAACTAATACATGAAAAGTAAACTCTACTCACTTCTCCAATATTAGCTACAGACGGTGTCTGCAGCACGACCAGAGCCAGACACAAAGACAAGGGACCCCTGAGTCCGCCCCACACGCAAGCCATGCAGTGCTGCCATGTCATACCATAACCCACACGGCGGAGTAGTGGCATCATGGCCGCGTATACCAGTAACCTTGCACAATTTTATATAATCAGTCAAAAAGTAAACAAATAATATACTAAAAATGAGTGAATCGTTGCTCTAATTCTTTTCAAGCGAGTGAAAATAGAATTGTTTCTCCGCTTACGCTATCTGTATACACTGGTGTGGTACCAGTGAATGAAGATTGGTCCTCGCCCATTATCACTATCCTCGTGAAGTCAAGTCAGTTAGCCTATCGTGATGATAGGCTGGATTCTAGAGGAGTCCGCGAGAAAATCAATCTCTCAGTGCATACTGATACCTAGACTTAACTATTAACAATCCCCTCCCCTCTATTTCAATGTGATGAATGTAAATAAAGTTATCTCTGCTCTGACACAAGAAAATGAAATCCTAATCCTCAGGACTGACTAATAAAGTAGGGTAAATGTTAGAAATATTATTTAAAATAATTACCTGGCACAATATATAGTCATGTACGTGACAAACACCAAGGAAACTTGGCGCACAGTGATCACATAGCTGACTTTTTCGAATATCACCACACCGACCATAGTGAATACTAAGGTATTGGCTTCATGCACTACAATAGTCCAGAAACTGGACACTATCTGTTCAACATCCCCCGCTACTGTAGACTTCTTGTTGCTCACTAGAACACCACATATTATTGTTCCCAACAACCCAGAAACATATAAGAACTTCTCCCCCACATAATAAGTGAGGTACGCAGCAGCTAATGTAACTGTTATTACACATAACATGTCGTTGTAAGTCGCAGAAAGTAGCATACCAGCTATCTTGCCCATTATGATACCTAGCAATATCCCTCCGCCTGCAAACCGAAGCAGTAGCAACGCAATCTGCGAAGCATCAGTGATAGCCATGGCCAAATAACCAAATATTGCTGTGAACTCTATCATCACTGTAGTGTCTCCTATTAAACCTTCACCCAATAGCAACACACTTATGTACTTCCCCTTCGACATTTCCTTCAATTGCTTTACAACTTCCACTGGGAATATAGGGGAACACACGACTCCAAATAAAATGGCAGTGGCGAAATTCCACGATGACTCCATCAGGTAAAAGGCCATGAAACCAACCATTATAGCTGTCAATAACGTCCCAGGAACCGCAACTAGAAGAATTTGAGGAAAACTTCTCCAAAATGAGTGGGAATCCACGCTGTATGAGGTGCTGAATACTACTATAGGCAGAAAGGCGATCAATAATACATCAATGTCCAGGTAGCAAACGTTCACGAACGGTTTAAAGGCGGGAGATCCGTTTGCCCAGAAACCAGCTAGACCACCTAGAGCGAACATCACCGCTCTGTATGGAAGGCACATGCTAGTCCACAGCATCACAGCCCTGACCACTGCTCCGATCAACAGCGTCATGAAAATGAACAGGAATCCTAGTGAAGTTGGGTAGGACAAAGTTGGACGACCCGGGTCGTCGAACGTTATACGTTGGTAACTCTTGTTCTGATTACTGCCATTTTTAGTCTGGCAGTTAACGGTCGTAAAAAATATTAATATTAGTTGTAATTTTAATGTTGGAGACATTTTTGTGTGACAAGCACGGCCATGGGGAATTAACTGTGTAATAGTTAATTGTCTATACCAAACCAAATTGTTTATAATTACTCCTCTCCATCCAAACGTTGCCTGGAAGAGATCGCTCTCAGCGATAAGGCCGCCCATTGTTTTCTCATTGTGATTATTTCTTGTAATTATTTATATTTATAATAAGTTTACTATTGTAATCTTTTGGAGGAAACAAGAGTATCTATCTATCTATCTAATTGTATAAAGTTGACGTTTAAGGGTTATTTACAGATTACAATACATTTTGTATTGTATCTTAAATGATTCATGTAAATAATTTTCTATAAAATAATTGGTTGAGTCGTTAAATCTTTTAAATTCGCCGTCACATTATTAATATTTTAATGTTAAAAATTCGTATTAATTTAATGTAATAACTACCGGTTTAAATTACATGTAATTAGATCGAGAAAGCTTGACTAGTTTCGGGATTAATTCGTGATCCTTAATCATGAGCGGCTGTGTGAATTTTATAAATATTTACAATATAAATGTTTTTAGAATTTAACGGAAGCTAACTACATGCAAGTAATAACTTTTTGTACTTATTTGATATAACTTTAAATACGTATTTGAATATAAACACATTATTATATCAAGCAGTGTAAAATTACATACATACATATCTGTCACGATTGTCTGCCATTAGGATAATGATTTTAGATTTGTTCAATATAGTAAAAATAACTGATATAGAAAAATACATTTTATTAAAAATCATTATTCTTTACATTCAGGGACAAACATAAAAAACATGTCAAAATTTGAATCAATAATTAAAAAACTTATATTAAAAAAATACCTAAATTTTCTTTCAATTACATCTATTTAAAGTTCCTAGATAAGTAGTAAATGAATCTATTGGTAGATACATTTACATTAGTGTATGTATGAGAAATAACAAGTCACCAAATATCTCGTTCTATCTCATACACGCGGTAACGATAACGTATTTATCGACAGATTTTTTGCCACTTCTAAGATGGTAGAGATCTTTGATCGATGTAGATTGAAGGGATTCGCTATAAGAGCACTTTATAAAACATTCATTTAGAAATATTGTGAATTATTTGATCTTAGATACAAGGCTTCGGTAAGAGGTAAGGGAGTAAGAGAACAGGGAAAACCGAGAAACTATTTTTTTTATTTAATTTACTTTCAATTTTACTTTTTTAATTTTTTCTAATAGTTCTACAGGTATTATTCTCAAATAATGTTGTTCTCAAAAAATGTATGGCTTTGTTAACATCTGATAGCTTTATTATGATGAGCTTTATTATTGACAATGCTGCTGTAGTTTTCAATAGTATTGTTCAATTTTGTATTTCCTTCAATTGTATTATACATTTGTGCAAATTTTAGTGGCTGTTAAATTACTATTTAAGTGTACAATTGCGTATTGTTATAACTGTCTGTTTGCCTTAAATAAATAAATAAACAATATAGGACAGATAAAGGAAACACTAAGTGTCATGTCATATAGGGAGGTCAAAGATATGTCATAGAATAGAGTTGGCTGGAAGAATGCATGAATTAGTTGTTCCAACAATAAAAAAAAAACACTTAAATCAAAGGAGAGAGAGAAAGACTACGCTTCGATATGAACACTTTTAATATAAAATGACGTTATATATCATGAATTAAGTGGAAATAATAACCGTACGCCTTTTTCTTTGCTAGAATTTTTATATGGCGAAAACTTCTGTGGCGTTTTCCGTGGTGATCTCCTAGGAGTCATGCTCTGTGTTTCCTTGTTTTCCAACTCTGACAATTCTTTATACGCCGCTTCCAACATCCGCTGTTTCCAGTCCTTGTAAGGCTCTATTTGTAGATCAGCTGTTTCTTCTTTTTTGGGACTGTCGACTTCCATTTTTTCTTGATTATCATCTGCAACAATACAAGATGTATTGCAGAAATATCAAACACTAATTGAAAAGTGGACAATTGTTTTTCTGTGCTTCAGCATAAAAAAGAAATTAAAAAGTATTAAAGGGGGCAAAAGCATAACCAACAAACATGTAAACTTAATTAATTCAAAGAAAGAATTATATCAAAAACGGTTCTATTTAATAACATTATAAATAAGAGATATTATAATAGATTTTTCTGATGATACATACATATCTGTCACGCCTGTCTCCCATTAGGGTAGGCAGAAACAATGAAACGCCAAATGCTTCGATTCAAACAAACCTCTTTCGCTTCTTCCACATTCATCGATCTTTTCATACACGCTCGCCGGTTACGGGTACTTTTAATTTGGCCCTTCTTCAGCACGTCGCCTATTTGGTCAACATACGTCCGTCTAGGGCGGTCCCTACCGACATCTCCATTCATTCTTGCTCGATAAATCTCTTTCGTAATTCTTCTTCCTTTTTTTGATTATTTCTTGATAAATCAACAACTAAACCAATGGTCATGAAACTTAGTAGATATTGATTGGTTTTGGTCAGTCTTGGCATAACAAATGGATAACTAAAAGATCAGTGATTCTCAACCACTGTCCGCGGCACTTTTGTGTGCCGCCAAATTTTAAAAGTGTGCCGCCAAATTTTGCAAATATTTAAAATTTTTGTCATAAACTATTTATGCAGTGTGTTGTAGTAAGTAAATAATTTTTATCTTTTTCTTTGTGTGCCGCCAAATTTTGAAATCGTTAAATATGTGCCGCAACAAAAAAAAAGGTTGAGAATCACTGCTCTAGATATATTCTATTTATTAACCGGGATAAAAAATAGCCTATGGCCTTCTCCGTCTCATACAGTACATGTATACCTAATTTCATAACGATCGGTTGAGCCGTTAAGGCGCTGAGATGTAACAAACAAACAAATAAAACAAAACCTACTTTCACATTTATAATATTAGTAAGAATTTAAATGACATAAATCCATAGACTTGAATACAGTATTAATGTGAAGTGCATTATAATTTTAAATATTGTAATTTTTTAAATCAATATTATTTTATATAGTAATTATTAAAATTGTAAAATGACGTAACATAAGAGTCTGTAACTGATGTATGTGAATAAAGATTTTTTGACTGATTTTAAATTAGTAAGAATTTCATAATACCCTCAGTTGTATTAAAACTGTGCAAACTACATTGGCTGATAAATTATTTAATTGTATAACTCTCATATTGAATTCGAATTATCTTCATGCAAACAGACAGAGGGAGACTTTGTACAAAAGTCGATTGCTTGGGTACCTCTGTCCCATTCGTGTTTCAACCGTCAAGCAGTTGTGTTTGCATGGTTGTGTTTCAGGTTGAAAGGTGGGATATGGCGTGAATTTACAGGGTACAGAGGAATAACTTCTGAGTCCTCAGGAATGGCAACGCATGGGGGGATATCATGGGCGAAACAGTATACTCTGTTATGTCGATGATACTGCTCATGTCTATAGGCGACGGTTATCACTTTCCATCAGGTTGGCCGTCAGCTTGTTTTCCATTCTAAGTTGTAAAAAAAAGACTTGTTTACGAGCTTTTTTAAATCGAATTTTTTTTATAAATGTATGTTTTAAATGTTATTATCTGTTGGGAAGAGCCCGCAAGTAACTCAACAGTCACATTTTTAAATCTCTGTTAATGTTATGTGTATTTATTTAAATGTACTATGTCTAAAATTACATGGTCGTTAATTACCCATACATGATCGACTAGCACCATGCACATTTGTCATTCAAGTACTTTTAGTGTGTAATTGTTAGTGGTTTTTTCATTAAGTGTTTTTAATACGTTTTAAACTAATTAAAAAGTAGAGCCAAAATATCCTTCGGTATCTTAATATAACATTGAATGTCCATTCCCATAAAAAACCTAGTAACTTTTTCTAATTGTGTGTTAAAATTATTGAGATCGCTGTTTTTAAGAAACTGTTGAAGATTCTTAAATTAATACAAAATATACATTGTTAAAGCTGTATGTTTGCTTGAAATAAATAAATAATAAAAACCTGTTATTAATTGGTTTTTGTAATAAAATATATTGATATACATATTACCGTTTTCTTTCAGGTCCTTTGGTTGACGCACCCTCTTCTTGACACCAGCAAAGTGTTCATCAACGAATTTAGTCCAGTCGGCATCTAACTTCGCCCATTGCGCTGGTTTTAAACGACTCTTCTCTAATATTTTACTCTTTGGCACTTTCACTTTATTAATTCTGAAACAACAAAACCTTGATATATTATATGATATATATAACAAATACTTGATATATAGTCCTGGAGAGGTCATTACAGGTTGTTTGAGATATTAAATCAATCTCTAATTACATAAGTAATATAATTAGTGTTAATATAACTTAATACTAACTATATTAGGCTTTCTCAATGTAAATTCGTATAAAGTTCTCTACACATTATTTTTATTTATTTATTTATTTATTTATTGCATTCCATAATAATTAATTAATACATAATACATAATTATTACATAAGGTTTCAATTATGGACCCTGTTGGGCACAGCAAGTAGGAGAGAGGAGGACAACACTTTTTTCACTTTCGAAATAGTATATCACGATAAGTACGTATTTTCTTATTATTATTATTATTTATTATTTAAGTATTGGTGTGTATCTATTCATATCGTAATTGTTATTAGTATTATATAGTTATTTAATATATTCTGTAGTTTATAATTATTTATATTCATATTGTAAAATTAATCAATAAATAGTTTAATAATAAAATTTCAGCAATATCAGTTTTAGCTATGTCTTAAATCATTATCAATTCATAATTAGTTATTTATCTATAAATTACAAGATAAATTCTGCTTGTCATTCAAGTATTCGTCATTCGTTTACTACCTGTATTCCGCGGCTTTACCCGCGTGTATCAGTACATAAAATATCCTATGTACTAAGATAAGATATAACCTATCCATGAACGGAATTTCACTCAAATCTATTCAGTAGTTTTTGCGTAAAAGATTAACAAACATCCATCTATCCTTACAAGCTTTTGCAATTATAATTTAATTATTTATTTATTTCTGAGGGAAGTTTACAGCTGTAACTTAATAATTAAATATATATAACAACAATAGACTAATTAAAAGCTACCTTCTTCTTCTTCCTACTCTTATCCCAATTATTATATGGGGTCGGCGTAATATGTTTTTTATCCATATTACAAAAAGATTTGGCTTATTTTTACGACCGGCCGCCTGCCTGACGTCAACCCTCTTTGAGAAAACTACCATATATAGATAATAAAAATTGAATTAGTTACAATCTAATATTAATAAATCCTATCTTATATGTAATTCAATAACTAGATCGGCCATATTCTAATATCGTCGAAGTGGACTACATACCTGCATGCTTGATACACCGCCATGCATACATATTGCGGGAGATTCAAGTCAATTTCCTGAAAACATCGATAAATTACATTTTAACTACATTTCCTATATATTATTATATAGAATAAACAATTTTATGATCCTAGCTATGTGGCAGTCTAACACAGTGTCTATTATTCAATGTCTTAAGTTTGATTCCCGCACAATACAAAATTTGTATTTATGAGTATAATATGTATGTAGCTGTTAGCTGTGTGGTCACAGTGGCTGTGTGGACACAGCATAGAATAGGCCACCCCTTCTATCTCGTGGACATCGTAAACAGTATGTAAATAAGTACCGACTAAGGGAGGGCGAGGGATGGACAGCAGCGTCCCTCTTAAAACATCTCTAAAGCCTGCGATTGCCAATCCGCGTGCCAAGTGTGGCAACTATTGACAAAACCAATCAAGGGAGAGGCTTATGTTCAGCAGTGGACAGTTAAAGGCTGATATGATGATGTATATAGAAAAAATTCTATGAATTTTCTAGTACACAATAGAAGCTCCGCTTAGTTTAATACTAGATTTTTTTTTTTTTTTTTTTATAGAACTTAGAATGGCAAACAAGCTGACGGCCCACCTGATGGAAAGTGGTAACCGTCGCCTATAGACATGAGCAGTACCATGGACATAACAGAGTATACTGTTTCTCCCATGATACCCCCCATGCGTTGCCATTCCTGAGGACTCAGGTGTTATTCCTCTGTACCCAGTAAATTCACGCCATATCCCACCCTTCAAACCGAAACACAGCCATGCAAACACAACTGCTTCACGGTTGAAACACGAATGGGACAGAGGTACCCAAGCAATCGACTTTTGTACAAAGTCTCCCTCTGGTAGATGGCGCAACATGTAAGATCCAAGTAATATAACATGCATGGACTATGTAATCTCCAAGGGTTATTTATTTATCATATTAATAGCTTTGCCTCGGCTTTGCGTGACGGATAAAAAGCAGCCTGTTTTTCTCTATCTCATATAGTGTGTGAATATCAAATTTTATAGTGATTTATTCAAGCGTTAAAGCGCCAAGAGAAGACAAACACACTTTCAGATTTATAATAATAAAAAAGATGGATTATTTTATAGACAAATATTTCTCTTTTACCATTTTAGCCTGCTTCTGATAATCTTGCAGTATCTTATCAGCTAATGTCTGAACTCCGTTGCATTGTAAAGTGATACATAGCAGTGAAGTACTCAATTTGTCACTATTAATTTCAAGTAAGTTCTCTAGGACTTTTCGACTGTTGGCGTACATAGCTGGTTTGAGGCCTGAATATTTGATGACAGCTTTCTGAAATTATAAACAATAGCATTGTATAAATAACTAGACATAGAGAATTTAATGAATCAACTGTTTTGATGGGCTCATTGTCTTGCGGTCGAGATAGATGTCGGTAGGGGCCGCCCTAGACGGATGTATGTTGCCCAAATAGGCGACGTGCTGAAGAAGGGCCAAATCAAAAGTACCCGTAACCGGTGAGCGTGTATAAAAAGATTGATGAATGTGGAAGAAGCGAAAGAGGTTTGTTGAATAGAAGCATTTGGCATTCCATTGTTTCTGCTTACCCTAATGGGAGACAGGCGTGACAGATATGTATGTGTATGTACTGTTTTGATTTCATACAGAATACCTTTTTATAGTGAGTATGGTGCTTACATGGTAGTGTTTAATCTTATTGTTGGAAACTCCTAACAGTAAATTCATTAAATCTCTATTGTTCAAATTATATCAAATATATAAATAGTTAAAACAGATTAAGAAAACGTCTCAAGATAGAATCTTAATGGGGTAGACAGATAATAGACATAAAGGCCTTACCAGAATGAAATTTTGTATAAAACATCTCACTTGCCTTGAGGCAGACATGCCATTTCAGTTTGAAGAATATGGCAACGAACTTAAATGCTACAAAGGAATAGCAAAGCATGGAGGGTTTTGTTTGTGGATGAAAATGGAATGGTAACCCTGTCTGTGCTATCAGTATATAGTGGAGAGGCATCAGCACAAAATGTGTGTGACTGCAGATCAGTTAGTGCAACATTATGAATTTTAAGAGAATTAATTACAATGGTTGCCACAACTGTGTGAGTTTGATCTGACAGGGTATATTGATAGCAATGGAGCTGTTAGACTCCCTGCATGGAGGGTACCATGAGAAGTACAGTATATTATGTGACATCCATGGTGCTGTTCATATTTATAAATATATATATATATATATTTATTTATTTATTGATTTGAGGTTGAGCCCTGAACTTGTTTACCAATCCTTGTTTATGTTAAAAAAAGAAGGCTAATGATTAACAGACAAATATGATATTTACCACGTCATAATCAACACCAATCATTCTAGCAGCTAGATCGAGGCATACAGCAACTTTGCTAACGTCAGTGATATTACTGCCAGCTATTGTCTTTGCTTGAAGAAGTCGCTCAAATTCTGCTGCTTTACTGAAATTTGTATTTATAAATGCAATAAGATTTTTATTTCATAAACACAGGAGATGACTCTAAAGTCTAGACTGTACAGTATGTTCATTAATATAACCTATTACTTAAAACTAATGTTAATAATTAGTATAAATGGAAGGCATGTACATGCCTATTATTATGTAGTGCTGTTGATACAGATACAGGCTGTACTTTTTATGAGAATTTTAAGTTATTGTTTTAGTGTTTGGTAATATAGAAATATTTTCTAGGTATAATTTTTTTTTTTTCGCAACCCTGTTAGTGCATACTAAAATTAGTTTTAAGGAATGGGTTATGTTTAATTAACACACTAGATTTTGAGATGTACTTCCATAAAGTTGTTCATGTCTATAATTCAACAATCACTCCTTTCTATGCACTATTTGCTTATACTGCTCATGTCTATAGGTGACGGTTACCACTTTCCATCAGGTGTGCCATCAGCTTGTTTGACATTCTAAGTTGTATAATATATATATCCATTTAAGAGCTGCACTCTTGTCGGTGGAGCTCTTGCCACTCACTATGATTTTCAGCGAGTCTCTTCACCTCTGGATACGACACGACACCAACTCCTTCCTTGATCTCCACCATCTCTCAATTATTTCAAAAACTACTCTCATGAGATCACACAGAGTACCTCGTGTGGTAGTATTTACAGTAAATTGTATAGCTTGTTGTTTAAGCATGTTATGTATCCATTCTCTAAGTGTTATTTCTACTCCATGTGTAGCTAGTGCCCGACTTATACTGGCAGTTTGTTTTGTCAAATGCCCCTTCGATGTCTATAAATGCACCTAAGGTTGGCTAATTTGTACGCTATGTGTAAATAATTTAAAAATATATGGTGTCTAGCATCAACCAATGGTGTGTTCCCTACACACCATACTAAATTGAAGAACACCAAATTGATGTATCAATGGCATACACTTCGCATGCTTTTTTTTCAGCTTGAAATAGAACCAAGAATTTACAAAGTCTGACTAAATTGTAAGTCCAAGTTCCAAGATAAAATTTAAGTGAAAATGTATATACATTAACAAAAAAAAATTATTAACTGTATTTAATTCACTCTTTCTAAAAATACTTTAGTAACATTATTATATTAAATCTATTGCTTAATGTACTTGCTGTATATTAAGCCTATTTAATTTTCATATGGATTGAAGTATTTTAAATACTTTCATCAGTTATTACTGTCTATGTTAATACACACAGGTAGACAGGTGATGCAAACTAAAAACATGAATAAATTCTAAGAGCATTTAATTTAAAAATACATAAAATAATATATTTAGAAAAAAAACGTTTAATACGTTTTTTGAATTGAAAAATGTATTTAATACCTTAAATTTATTAAATATATTTTACAATTCGAATCTACTATAAGTGCCTATATAACCTACTATAATTTAAGTTTCTCATTGGAATAACAATGACATAATAGAACAATAAACAGATAAATAGAATGTAAACAATAATTGTAGTGATCGGATTACACAAAACAAATACTCTAAATAACAAGGTTCAAGAAATTATAAAATAAAACATAAAAACAAACCATTCAAGCAAAAATGTTTATATTACTACATTTACGTACTTTAAAACTTTTTCTTCCTCACTCAGACCCAACTTTGAAGCTATAAAATTAAGAGTTCTATTGTATGCCGCCATGGTTATATTTTACTCACGTAAATGAATTAATATTTAGTTAATTATAAAATTTTACTTAAGAACTTTTTGAATTGAATATATTAAAATTGAATACTGTTGTGACATTGACAGTGACAACTAAACACGCGCCTTTTTTAATATTGCCAATCCTAAACATGTTTACCCCTAAACACATTTGTAATACCCTTACAAAATAATATTAATCAATAAAAATACTTATTATTGTAACGTAATGTACGTTACATATACACATTGATATATAGTTAATAAATACACCTGGAAATATTGCAGTTTATGTTAGCATGCTTTTAATGTCATTTTATGTATGTCCTTTCATAAATTTAAAAACAAAAACATGACGCTTTTTACTTTAATTATTAGTTTATACTAGCATTTTTAAATCATTAAGAGACGTACCAATTTTTTACTTATTGTGCCGGACATAGAAAAATAAGAAAATATATCTACTAGTGTGATATAGATTACAACTGACGTTTTAGCAGTTTTTAGTATTAAAAACTGAATTGTGACAGTTTTTCAATTTTATTTTATCTATAACCATAAATTAAACCACTAAATATATTTGAATAATTTAATAAATATAAACAAGTACATTAGATTGTATTCATTAAAATAAAACTTATACGAAAAATTCGTAAAAATAATAAATTAATTTGTAATTTAAATAGAATTTAATTAAATTGATTAAATAAAAAAAATAAATTATTTAATTGTTGAAATTATTATGAAAATTAAATAAACGTCGCCCTCTTTGCTTCTAATTGCTGTGCCTGACAGGGTCTACAATAGTTTTAATTTTAATTCAATTATATTACGTTATAAGACAAGATTGATGAATATGGAGGAAGCGAAAGAGGTTTGTTTGAATCGAAGCATTTGGCGTTCCATTGTTTCTGCCTACCCTAATGGGAGACAGGCGTGACAGATATATATATATATATATATATATATATATATATATATATATATATATATATATATATATATATATATATATATATATATATATATATATATATGTTATTATACAAATTGTATATATATAATATATATTTATTTATTTATTGAAATATACATCACGTCCAAAGTCATTGTATCAATTTATTCCGCAACAATTTCCTGTTACCCTAATAGTGGGAAATCATCTAAATTGAGAACCCTACATATTTTTGTATCTGGCGATCATGCGCGTGATATGCTTAAAACCTTCTTAGACGATTAAAATTATAATAAAAGTGTTATTCTATTGTATTGTTAAGTATATAGTGTTATTCCATCTTATTTTTGGTAACCACTTAGAAGAAAAATAAGATGGGAATTCCATCTCTGTCCTACAAATAGGAACAGATGCTTTACCTATTTTGTTAACTAAGTACATTGCAGATTTTAAGATAGGATAAAAAAAAATATTATCAAAATTATTCATTGTAATGATTAAATATTATTTTACAAATAGATATCTGAAAGTAATTTTAAAAAGCCGTTGTTATAACACCGCCATCGGGAGTTACCTCCTTAGTACATATGTAGATTAAGCATAGTACTTGCGTCGTAATATGAACTTATTATAAATGTTTCCGTTGTATTAAATTAAATGAAAAAATTTAATCCACTAAAATTGCTAAATTCCGTTATCTTTTTTTTTATTATGTTTAAATAAAACGTACATCTTTCAATAAATAACTTTTTCAGTTTAAATAATTTGTCTTAATGCAAGTGTACTTAGTTATTTTACAAAGATAATGCCATTTTGTAGCGTTTATCGGTGACATTTATCTCGATTCACATTTGACCACGCCCCTTATCTCGATTTAACCGAACTGCCAATGATAAAACACCTTTTCGTATCACAGAAGGCGACATGTTGATTTTTTCTAGGTTCTGTAAAGCCGATACGGGATCGCTGTCATTTCTACAAAATGTCTTTGTAGTTATCAGGGTGTAGGTCATATAATTGTAGTTCTAAAAACCAATCCGTGCTAATTTTCTTATGTTAAACGTATTCTAAATAGGAAGAAGAGGATCCGCTCCACCCGAAACAGGGGTGTGTATGCAGTGATAGACTGTTATAGATTTGTATCAAAATAATCCGAAGCTATTTATAAATATTATTTTCTCATCTTTTACTTATGTTCAAACGTTAATAGTAACGTCTGGTCTATAATTAACTCGTGAAAGTTTATAAATATTACAGTATTCTATGGTGGACTCGTGTGTTGAGTCGGGTCGTTATTCAGAAGGTTGCCATTTTTAGTGGGAATATTATTTGTGCGCGGAGTTTTAGGGTTGTGATAGAAGTCGTTGGAGGCTGTGATAGTGGGGAGTAGTAAGGGGGGCCGGTGTGAGCCGTGTAGTGTTGTGACGAGTGTTCGGTCGGTGCAACTTACGGTGTCATGGTTTCAGGTAGAGATGCAACTAGTGTCAGTGTGTACGAGGTAATAGAAGTGCGAGTGGCGTGAGTAGTGCGGACAATGATGGCGCTGTGAGGAGCAGGCGACACCACGGCTTCGTCAGTGGCAGGGGGCGCGCGGGGAGCGGAGTCTCCTACGCAGGCCAACCAAGACACGGTGGACAACGCCACTCCTACCTGTTGGTGAGTACTCTATCTGCAACCCTGGACTCCAAAACAGTACTTTAGAAGTAACATTAAAAAGTACAAAGATTATTAACATGTTTGTTCAGGAGAACAATTTGTATAGGTCCGAGACTTACTGATCACATTTGAATCAAAAATCTCATAAATAATCATCTCTCTGTTAGTAATGACAGTTCTAAATATTGTATACTATATCCCACTCATATTATCAAGCATATATGCTTGCATTGCTGTGTTAAGTTTAAAGATCAGGATATGGTAGTAATATTATTAAATTGGAGGGTATAACAAAATATTTTTTAGGAAAATCAACACAGGATAAGTTACAATATATATTGTAATATTCATTGTGCTGTTCTTATCTATTGGCAATATATGTTATATAAAGTAAAATAACTTTGTATAAATTAGTTCCTAACTTTAATATCAATTAAATTGATATAAAACAAACATCTCAATTAGCCTAACTTTATGCTTTCTGATTTGCACTTATAGACATTTGTTATTGGTTTCTAATTATTATATTGACCTATCCACCTAAGTTCAAGGATCTTTGGGTATTATGAGGACTAGGCAAATGGTAGGATAGTGTGCCACTTACCATTATTATTATCACTATCAACTGAAACTTTAACAACAATAAGATTGAGAGACAATAGTAGTATAGAAATTGTACAACAATTATTACTTTGAGATCACTTCTTAGATGATATTGTTGGTTATATCAATAGGTACACATTCTTGTGACCTTATTTAAGTTACATTGAGTCCTTATAAATAAATATTCATCTTAGGAGCATTTATACTTAAGTATAGTATTCAAGAATATATAGAATTTCACTAATAACACAACATATTAAATTATATAATATGTTTTTTTATACTGGCATATTTGGTAAACAATCTCGGTGTGGCTTTTTGTCAAATTGTGTGTATAAAATGAACATATATCTAATTGCAATAAAAAAGCTTTTTAATAATTCATTACATACTTAACATTATTGAAGTATTTTCTCTGTCTTTATTTATGAAAAATAATTTCATAAAAAGATAGGCCAAAATTGTTTACTGAATATGTACAGTATAAAAAACAGACCACATATAAACAGAGTATATATAATAAGAGATGTATCCATTTTAATTTTCAATATTATTTTATATATATGAATTGATTACATCTTTATTATAGGTTATAAAATATCAACAGATGATATAAATTAGCAAATCACATGTATAGATAAGAAAAATAATTTATAACAAAAAATAGAAGAAGTAATAATATTTGAAATAGAATAAAGAGAACTGACTGCAATGCACCTCTATCTTTACATACATCTCTTGCCTCATCCACTTTAATAAATAATTGTTTTAATTTGCACTATGATTTTAAAGCCTGTTGACTCTTCCACAGTATGTGGAAAGAATGACATAATATATATATATATATTTTATATATATATATATATATATATATATATATATATATATATATATATATATATATATATATATATATATATATATATATATATATATTATATACAATGAAGTTCTATCAAGAAGTCATAATACAGTGAATTATTATAATACATTTATTTTATTGAAGCTTCAGTTCCTCTGAGTGAATATACTGGGTTTATTAAACATATTTGTATGTTAGCTTGTCAAAAGGTTTACCATAGATTTGATTATACACTGATATAAAATATTTACAGATATATAATACATATAATTGTGAATGTGAGTTTATTTATTTATTATTTTTTTGGGGCCTTAATGGCTTAGCTAATCACTATGAAATTTGGAGAAGGATGTTGATTACTTTTTGTTCTAGTCAATGAATATATCACGGTTACACAGTCAAAATTGCAGATAAAAGTTAGTAATATATATTGTTTTAACATAAAATCTTTGTGAAATAAAAATTGTGGGTGTTACAAACTGACATTTGCCTTTATTTACATCGATTCACATGAAACATTTACTTTACAGTCATGTGTGGGTGATTTCATCTAGAGTGGGCTGTTTTATCTGTTATTTGGTTGTTTAACATTATTGAAAATTTAGAAAAACAAATACTGTGGGTGTTACTAATCCAGTGTCTGAGTTTTACCTTTATTTATCACCAGCTGTTTTGCTCGTGTGCAACAGTATTAGGGCTTGCATTCAAATATTAATATAATTTTAATATTATTTCAAAATTATTATTCAAATAGTAAATCAGTACTATTCAAATAATTTTATACCCAAATTTTTTTATTAGTAAAGATTGATTATTAAAAATACATTTAGTAAAATTAATTTGAGTCAAGCTATTTCTTCTTTACCAAGTTATAAAGGTAACAAAGCAAAATAGCCAGTTCTTTGTCTTTCACTGTATTGTTGGTTTTCAGTCTTCAGAAAAATGATCGGAGGTATGGTTTCAGTATTTTATATTATTCTACTTACCAGAGACAGTCTTTGGATGGAAAATCTTTCCAATTTTGCTTGGTCTTCTAT